TAGATTGCTCTGTTTGTGTACATTTGAGAGCCGATTGAATAAGACGCCTTGATTGCTTACATGAAAATGGAAAAATCAGAGAAGCGTGCGGTCATCGAATACTTCTATCTAAAAGGCCTAACAACGTTATAAATTTAAGTAGAGCTGGATTCCACACTGAAAGACTCTTCTCCATCATATTAAACGGTTAAACAGTGGGTTTCTAAATTTAAAAAAGGTTGCACGAGCACTTCTGACGATCCACGTTCAGGACGCCCCGTTCAGGTCATAACTCTCGAAATGATTAGAAAAATTCATAAAATAGTGATGGAGGACCGCAGATTAAAAGTAAGTGAGATAGCTGAGGCTACTAGGATGTCAACTGAACGTGTGCGCAATATTTTACATGAACGTTTGAGTATAAGGAAGCTCTGTGCTAGGTGGGTGCCGCGTTTGCTAACATTCGATCAAAAATTCACCTGGAAAACTGTTTCAATCGAAAATTTGGCGCTGTACAAGTGAAACCCCAGCGAATTTTTGCGTCGATTTATAACTGTGAATGAAACTTGGATTCACCACTACACTCCTTAAACTAAACAACAGTCGAAACAATGGATTGGACCAGGTGAACTAACCCCAAAGAAGGCAAAAACAATTTTATCGGCGAATAAGGTTATGGCGACTGTTTTTTGGGATGCGAAAGGAATTATTTTTATTGATTACCTGGAGAAGGGTAAAACCATCACTGGTCAATACTACGCAGAGTTATTGCAGCGTTTGAAGGACGAAATGAAAAATAAACGACCTCACTTGGCGAAGAAAAAAAATCTTGTTTCACCATGACAATGCACCTGCCCATTCGTCGGTCGCTACGATGGCTAAAATCAAGGAATTGAAGTTTGAATTGTTCTCCCAACCAGCATATTCACCAGATTTAGCCCACAGCGACTTTCATTTGTTTCTTAACCTTAAAAAATGGCTTGGAGGTAAAAAATTTGAGACCAACGAGGAAGTCATCGATGCTGTAAATGAGTATTTTGAGGGACTTGACATATCGGACTATAAAAATGATATCACTGCATTAGAGCACCGTTATGAAAAATGTATAAATCTTGATGGAGATTTTGTTGAAAAATAAAACGAAAAAAAAAAACGAAAAAAGTTGTTTTTCTTTATCAGGCCGGAAACTTTTCACCCCACCCTCGTATATATACGTATAATAGAGGAGCGGAAGAGGCAAAAGTAAAAAAATACACGTATATCTCGAAAATCGCCTCGCAAGTGCAAGTAACTCCAAACACCGTTTTAAAAGTTTGAAAGCGACTGCATTGTTTCCATCTCCGCAGAGCAAATCCGTCGGCATCGCAGCTTATAACACCCCTTGGTACAATTTGAAACCCAGTGACGGCCGAGTTTTGTTGATTATTATATTACGATCGCAGAAGCAATTGACGCTCACAGCAGGAAAGATGGTGGATCTCTCCTTAGAATCCTTCGCGAGTGTAAGATTTATATGTACATCTCATAACACGTAACTTTATGTACACGTAACACTGCGAATACACATAATTTTCCTAGACATAAACTTCACGTAAAAACTACTTATTTTCACAGTTATTCTTTGTTCGCAATTGATTGCTGCGTGTACTAAATTTTCGACGCGAGAAGCGCACTAAACTATGATGTTATTGTGAATTATGAGATTTTATTTTACCAATAATTTAAGAGACACTATTTTTTTAAGACCATGAAAGTCTCTGGATCATACTTGTCCGTGCTGTTGGCGATGCAATGAAAGGTTAATCTCGGCTGGACAATTATTTTTTAATAAAGAATCGTCGCAGAACACTGAGTTACTCGTGAAAATCACTGGTTATAGTCTTCGACATTGTACAGAAAGAACATATTTCACTGACAAAAAGAGGATTGGACCCATGTTGGTCCAGTCATAATAAAGTCCATTCGTGGAAAATCCATTGTTGCTTCTTTTCCGTAAAGATGATTGGCTATCCCGAAATCTCGATCTGAATGCGAGTCGTTTTCCACTTCGGCTCGCTGTTGTCACGGGCGATTGTCAACGTAGAACCTTACCGTACGTAGTAGTATGTTTTGACAGTTTGCATGTAAGTGTTAACATATTTCCGCGGGAAACAAGGCTAGCATGCCTACAAAAAGTTAATTTCTCCATTGAAGTACGTTTTCCAGCAAGGTACACAGAAAAACGCGAAGTTATTTTGTCGGCAAAATATCATGTTAAGATATTAAGACATCGTGTTTCTCTGCTTTTCCTTACTTAAAACACAGAAAATAGAATATAAAGTATAATAAACGAAAATATAAGAAATAATATAATGCGTTTAATATATATGTTATCAGAAAAAAAGCTCGGTTGTAGGAACAAATAATTTCTTGCAGAAGTTTTAACTGAGGCGATTGCTATTAGTTACTTCATAGGGCATTCGATTTATTGACTCGACCCTATTCAACAGAGTTTCGCTGGTCGATACCAATACTAAAATCTATAGAATATATTACTTTGGACCCGATTTGTGGAACACTATTGAAACAAGTCGAGTCAATATATCATATACAATATTCATAACATTTTAATACAGTTTTATGTTCAAACGAATATATTCAGTAGTAGCAACACAGGTTTTTTTCGTATGGTATTCTTATTCGGTTAACATAAACTGAAATTTTCCCAATATAATAATTAGCTACAGAGCGTACCTCTATTTTGTTCTAATTTTTCTCAAATACAGACGACATACGTGATCATCGTCCGAATATCGTTTTTCCTGAAAAATTAAAAAATGCTTCCATGTTGAAAATTTCCAGGTTCACGGCCCCCTAATAATCTTGACCGCTCTCAATTTATTGAGTTTTTCGAATGAGGTTTCCGAATATATGTGCGATTCAAACCAAAAGCTTAAGTTATTCGTCCGAAACACTCTCCATCTCCTCGCACAAGTTTCTTACCGACGCCACGTTTCAGTTCACCGGTAGATGCACGCCCGAACAATTTATTGATACGTAATTCCTCTAAAAATGTGCTAGAAACTAGATTGACTGAAAAACTATATTTAAGGTATTTTAATCGAGAAAAACCAGTTAAGAAGATGGTACAAAGAACCCTTGCGTTCTCCACCACATTGTGTTGAATGAAGAAATTTTCCTTCTGTTCGTAAAACACATATAAACATTCCACATGCACTTTCTGTAATAATTGTAAATCCGGTCCGTTTGTAATCGTATATGAACATTCCCGCGGCATGAACGCATCTACATCAAGCATCGAAGGCGACATGTACTCGCGCTTAGTTTTTCGATTCTTCAATAAGTTGCTCACTTCCTGCGGGCTGCAAAACTTTCCAGCAAGAGATGAATGCTTATGACTGGTGCCTCTCGCGCGAGCAAACACCATGCTGTATCTATGTCCACACGAATCTTTGCATATTTAAACTGCGTAGCTCGCGATTATAGTTCAATAACAGCGATAATAGCATGCGAAACAGAAGAAATGTCTGATTTTTTTGCTTTTCTCGCATCGAGGTAGAAAAAGCTGCAGGACGGATATAATCGATAATGACCTGCTCGCATACTGGAAAATATTTAATGAGAAGCTCTCATTGGTCGATCGCCCAAGGGTGCACACATTTGATGACGCCTCTCAAACCCCCCAGTCTGTACACGTATATTCTGCGACGCACGTCGGGCCATCATCGAAGAAAAGAAGAAGAAATATATTTTGTCAGTGAAAGTCTCCCCTCGCTTTACCGAGACTTTTCACTCGGTTTCCCTGTGACTCTTTGACTGGCACTCGTATCCAGACAGGCAACACCGGGGGGAAACAAAATGATAGCCCGTAGGACTACGCTTAATCGCACACTGAAGTATATGTTCATTCTATATGGTATTTGGCCAGGCATGTCCTGCGTTCTGATCTGCAGGTTATTTTGGACCGTCATGTTAGCATTCATAGAATACTGTCATTATTATTACTTTGTGGAGCATATGTACACCGCCGACTTCATCGATCTGGTGGACTGCATATGCGGATTTCTGGCATACGGCAAAGTGTTCATAAAGATTATCTTGTTTTGGTTGAATCAACAGTAAGTGCAGCGTTCATCATGCTCATATATACCTTAACGCTAACATATTGTCATTATTGTCAGAATATAATTTATATTTAGTGTTGTGAAAAACAAATCCTCTCAAGATTAGGACAATGTAAATATAAGATAGAATTTCTTACGATTTTCATCGATACATCCCGAGTGTATGTAAAATTGTATATCGTATAATAACTATAGTTATAACACAATCATTTTCACACACTCGCACACGCAATCACATACATAAATTGCAATCCAGTTTATAATGTTGTGGTGTGTATGGTGTCTGATTACTCGTATCGCGATATGCATTTCTGTAGACGATAATACTTCGGTAGTTTTCGTTTGGGACAGCTACTAGATGTCGAAAGCTTCACAGTCGTCAACTTTTTAGATCTGCCTTTATTTTTTTTTTGGAAACCCGAATGATTGTTCAGTCGCGTGAAATTAAAATTATCCAGTGATCACGTGTAATCGCATAATCGACAAACTAGATCGTTTGCAGAAACGTCATCAAGATCATGTCGATAATGGCAGACGATTGGGACGATTGTGCCAAGAGCGATATCGGGCTTCGAGAGACGGAATACAAAGCGAAAATCTCAGATTGCCTTATAAATTTTGTAGTCATGCTTCACGCGATGGAGACCTGCGCATGTTGTTCTAGCACTATGCTCAAAATCCTTCAAGTCACCAATCGCACGGAGGAGCTGACTTATATGCACAAGTTCGATATGCCCTTCGACGTTAACACGCAACTCATGTACAGAAGCATATTATTCTCAGAATTCATCGCTGCGATGACAATCAGCTGTGTAGCTGGTGCGACGAACATATTGGTGTTGAGTCTGGTAAGCAGGACGAGCATATCGACAAGGAAGCGGCGACATTCTGTTTTAACATGATAAACGTGAATTAACGTGATAATAAATTTAACTGATTGAGTGTCTAGCAAATATTTGGTATGTGTCTCGCCCCCTATGTCGCAAAGAAATTTTATGCCAGACTGGTAGCCGTGCACCTAAAACTATTGCCTTTTTTGTAGAAGTCAAGTATGATAGTCGTGAAGTCTGATCAATTTAATAAGCGAAATTTTCAATTATAGACATTACACGCCGCCGGCCAAATGGACGTTCTTCGTAACTGGTTCACGCAACTTGTACCCCTTGCAAATGAGAATAAACATAAATCCACCGTTATTATGCTAAAACGGATCGTACGAAAACATCAGAAAATCATTGATTTTTCGGAAACCATTGAAAGTCTCTACTCGCTGATCGCGTTCATGCAGTTCACGTCGAACATGATAATGATTTGTTCATTGGGTTTTGTGATCGTAACGGTAAGATCGTTGAATACCACAAATAGAGGAAAGATATGCAAAGAAATACAAGTATACATTGCGGCTTTATAAAATTTTAATCTATTTTTATATACGCAAATTTCATTCTCTATTAATTCTTTTTCCTTGTCGCCATTCATCATACGCCTCTTACCACGTACATCTGCAAAATAGAAAATGACGTGTAATTCACAAATGCATCAAATAAATCTCTGCTCGATATTACAGTCAATCGGTGGTCCCGACGTGGTAGAAATGATAGTGAGGTCCCTGTTGTTCTTCACCATAACGAATCTCGAAGCGTTTATATTTTGCTTCGCAGGGGAATATCTAAACAATAAGGTTAGTGATGAAAAAGTAATCACTACAATGACGAACAAGCGATGCTGTCGCAGAAACATCTGTCAGTTTCTGTGGGCACTTGTGTGGGCAGCAAAACAATTTACTTTTTCAAATGTACTAATTGCCACTTACTGAATTATTTTGTTGAATAAACAAATTAATTTGCTGTAAGAACAAATTACTATTGTAGAAAAATTCTATATTGTTCTAACGGCAAATCAAATTCAGCAGAATTTTTCTCATTCACAAAACTGTTTTTGCTTTAATCACGAATAATTTGCTAATTTGGTTATGCCGGCTAAATTTTATCGCTATTCAATATGCAGTAGCAAGGATAGTTTCGTGACAACAGCAAAATTATTTTCCGCCGCGCATTGTTCACATGCGATACACATATATGTGTGCATAATAGACGAGCTGAAGAGGCAAAAGTAAGGAAATACACGTATATCTCGAAAATCGCCTCGAAAATGCAAGTAATTCCAAACACCGTTTTAAACGTTCGAAAGCGACTGGTTTGTTTCCATCTCCGCAGAGCAAATCCGTCGGCATCGCAGCTTATAACACCCCTTGGTACAATTTGAAACCCAGTGACGGCCGAGTTTTGTTAATTATCATATTACGATCGCAGAAGCAACTGACGCTCACAGCAGGAAAGATGGTGGATCTCTCCCTAGAATCCTTCGCGAGTGTAAGATTTATATGTACATCTCATAACACGTAACTCTGTGTACGCGTAACACTGCGAATACACATAATTTTCCTAGACAAAACTTCACGTAAAACCTACTTATTTTCACAGTTGTTCTTCATTCGCAATTGATTGCTGCGTGTACTAAATTTTCGACGCAATAAGCGCACTAATCTATGACGTTATTGAGAATTATGAGATTTTATTTTACCAATAATTTAAGAGACACTATTTTTTTTTTAGATCATGAAAGCCTCTGGATCATACTTGTCGGTGCTGTTGGCGATGCAATGAAAGGTTAAACTCGGCTGGACAATTATTTTTTAATAAAGAATCGTCGCAGAACACCGAGTTACTCGTGAAAATCACTGGTTATAGTCTCCGACATTGTACAGAAAGAACATATTTCACTGATAATAAGAGGATTGGATCTATGTTGGTCCATTCATAAAAAAGTCCATTCGTGGAAAATCCATTGGTTTCCAAGAGGCTATCCCGAAATTTCGATCCCGATGTGAGTCGTTGTTCACTTCGCTTCGCAACTGTTGCGAACGATTGTCATCGTAGTGATTATACGTTTTGACAGTTGTGTGTAAGTGTTAACACATCTGTTGTTCCACTTTTTTCTAAATTACGAACAAAATACGTAACATTCGTTCTTCCTGGAACATATCAGAACTCATCTCTGTTGAAAATTTCCAAGTCAATTGCACGGAAATCCAATAGATCCCATGTGATTCATATAGGGTATTAAGAATCCATATAAAAATCTACATTGTTTATGAAAATTCATATAGGAATTCACATGGATTGTTACTTAGGACCTAGGTTTTTAGCGCAAATCTCCAGGGCCAATCATAGCATTCCATATGGATTCCCACCTGATATCCTTCAACAGAAATTCCGCTTTCTCATGACTGACGCTCGGAGTTGTATGAATCTTCCATCAAAGCACGTCAATGATGATCACACCACGTGTCCGTAAATACATAGGATCCGTGAGACTCTTCCTAATTTCTGAAAAGCTCTCTTATTGGAAATCTTCTGTGTGTATTATTTTTATACTCTATCGGCACAATTATACTGTTATAACTACAACGATAGCACTTTCGTTTCGGCAATAGCATTACAGAATTTAGGGATCTCCTCAGAACGCGTTAGCGATGATCTCTGGGTCTTCGTGAATTTCGGCACAACACGAATGAACTTTCAGCTATTACTGCCCATGGCGAGACATATTCTCGCGCGATTCCGCTCCTCCGCTCTTTCCCCGACTTGTTCTCTCGCGGTTTTTTCGCTCTCTGGATTTCGAAGTTTCGCCCGAAGGTCGCAGCGAGGGACTGACCGTTGGACATGCGTCGTCGTTGCGTCTACATCTGCGCGGGATCGACTCTTTGCATATTTAAGCTACGCAATTGACAAGCGCATAAGAACGGGCGTATTATATCAGCGCGTCCCGAGACGCGGGGGGACGAGATCTTACATATTCCCTTTTTCCTCGCTAAGTTTCATGGAAACGTGAAAACAGCGAATGTATATTCGCCGTTTGCGCGTATCATGGTAAAAATATTTGATGAGCAGCCGCGATTGGTCGATCGCCCAAGGGTGCAGTGCGCTGCTTGATGACCTCTCGCACTTTGTTTCCCCAGTCATCGCGTAGGTACCTTGTGACGTGCATCGTCGGAACATACATTCGGCGACTTCGCGCACCGCTCTTACTCTCTCCCGGGAGTGCTCGTTTCATTATAAGTATTCTAATGCGCTCATTTCGACGCGAAAGAAATCATGACTCGTAAGAGCACGGTCATGGCTCGTAAGAACACGATCAGTCGTATGGTGGAGATCCTGCTGCCCATGTTTGGCGTCTGGCCGGGCAGACCGTGCGTTATAATCTTCAGGGTGTTTTGGGTCGCCTCGGCAGTATTCGTCGAGTTTTGCCACTATCGCTATTTCGTCTCGCACCTGAGCGCCGAGAATTTTTTCGATCTAGTGGACTGCCTGTGCAGCTTCTTGGCGCACGGAAAAGTGATCACCAAGCTAATCATGTTCTGGGTGAATCAGCGGTGAGTGAAGGGACGTTGCAGGAGCGACATCGCGGAGAGGAAGTTACGGTAACTTCGCTATTGTGATGTGACGATGATTTTCGAAGGTATTTGAAACTACTTACCACATGCAGTGGTAAACGGTAGATATCATTGCGATTGATTGCATCGGGTTTTCGGGGAAAACATTGTAATGTGATATAACAGGGCGCGAATATAGTGCAATATGCAATGTAGCACTGTCAATTTCGGCTACCTGCGTGCCTGAATCTTTCAGTAACTGATTATACGGCTAATTTCAGACATTATAAAAGATTGATTTTTCGAACAATAACAGATAATTGACAGATGACGTCTGATTTTAGCCGTACACTTAGTTACTGAAAGACTCGGATATCCGGATAGTCGAAATTGACAGCATCAATACGGTGGCATATCTGCCATATTTTCGTTCGTGGCTCGGAATATAATGACCTCCTCTATACCTATTATTTTTAGCATTCAGTTAACTTATCAATTTAATAAGATTGACAACTCCGTTTCATACATCACATGCGAGAAGGAAATTTTTAGACATAACTTAGCGACTAATAATCACCGCACATTCAACGCTCTAGGATTTTTTATCCAAGCAGAAACTTTCAGTGCACAAAAATAATTAAGAGCAATCGTCGAATCGTGTCACCAAAGTTATCGCGATCATATCGTAGATAATTCCTGAATGTATGTTTAATCGCACGAGGCAAAAAAATATTGTCGCTGCCTAAAATCCGTTTCTCTACCGATGCGATTAATTAGGCCGTAATTAACGAGAGCGAACGCCGTGATCGATCGCGCTCGGTAATTACGTAGCCAGCAGTCCACCCCGTCGCAATTGTCTCCTTACGCGTACTCGATGCTTTCCCGCGCGGCCGCTCGAGAAAATCCGAGCGATAATAGAAAGCGGAAAATAAGAAACGAAAAGTCGCGATTTAAATGAAAAAAAGAAAAAAATGATTAACGTCAATACGGTTCCGCCAGTTGAAGATGGCGTACATCTACGACGTCCTGCGACGCGTGGATTAGGATTTCCCCCTGAGGGTAAGCGTGTGATCGAGGAAACGCAATCATTCGCAGAAAACTGATGGAAACGTTGGCGCTGATGACGGACGACTGGAGCGATCGCGCGAATAACAACGATGCCGGCATGCACATGATGGCGCGCAAGGCGAAAACGTGCAATCGCATCACTAACGCGATAATGATCCTTCACACCATGACGATCGTAACATATTGCACCGGGATGATCATCGCCGACGTAAACGTCACCGATCAAACGACCGAAGTGCCTTACATCAACAAAGTGCAGATGCCCTTCCGGGTAGACACGCAGCCGATGTACAGATTCGTGCTAATTGCGGAATACGTGCACATGATAATAAGCAACTGGGGGGCCGGCATCGCGAACGCTATACTGCTGACCCTGGTGAGTCGCAATCGCGTGTACGGAAGAGAATAATTTAGAGGCATGGCAAATCCTTTATGTCGCAGCAAATAAATGTACGGGATATTTCTTAAGTACACGCGGGAAATTTTTGTTAAATAATGTAGCATCCCATAAAGCGTCATCCCGTAAAAACTAACAACAACATAATTGCAACATCACAGCATTGCAATTGTGTCGCTTTCCATGCTTTCTAAATTTCTCGTATTGCCTGAAAATGAAATTATTTCGACGTTATAAGTAGCCGAGCAAGACTATTATAGTATTTTTTCAATTCATGAATGTTTATATCGTCCAGAAAAATGTTCTGCGTGTATGTCTAACATTTCAGAAATTCATATTTGAAGTTATTTTGTAAAGAAAAATTCACGCGAACATATGTTCATTTCTTTACAAAATATTATCAAAAATTAATTCCTAAAATATTAGACAATATTTAAGGAACCCTGTTATATATTTATTCATTAGCTACTACAGCATAAAATTTGCCATCCCTCTAATTTATTTTTCTTTGCGCGTAATAAACAATTAATACATCGACCGTCGCGTTGATTCCCGTTGATTGCGTAATCGCGGCCGAAAAGGTCGGGGCGTCCTTTTCGGAACGCATCCGATCCACTAGGAAAACCTATTTCCTGAGAATTTCTCGAAAACAAATTCTTCCATTGAATGTCAGCTGCGTTCCGGAGTATATCGGAGGAAAAGTGTGTCAACCTTTATGCCCACGATTTCACAAAAGTTCAACTGAAGATTAAATTTACGAGAAGATAAGATAAATAAATCCAATTCGAGAGACGTATACCTTTCGCCCCATTTCATCCAGGCTCTCTATTGACCGCACGACCGATCTTTCTTTCTTTCAAACGCAATTAATTGTACTTCGTATGCAAATTAATGAAATGCTGTAGTAATATAGTGGCGACTGTAAGGACATATTAAATATCGAAGATGAATAAAAATGGCCGGACGCTGTTATCAGTACGCCGAGAGGTAAAACTTCATGCGTTATTATACATGCTTCACATTTAAAAACAAAATTCCCCGGTCCTTTGTTCCTACTTTCTATTATGTGTTGCGTAATTATTATAATGATGAAAAATTAAAATCTTCTACCGGACGATGTTGAAATATTATAGAGCGAGGTTTTCCGAGAACGTCGCTCCCGAAAAACTGAAGGCGGCGTATATCGCACACCCGCCGAATTAATCCGCTGAATACGCGTTTTGCGAGTGAAATTTGTGCAAAGCATATTCACGGAAATGCCACTTTTACCGCTCCTGGGTATAAACCGCTCGCGCGTCTGATCATTTTTATACGCGGCTGATTTCGTGTAAAAATATTCAGCGCGTTGAAATCGGATTTACGCACCCTCAGATCTTGCATGTCGGCGGCCAAATGGATATTCTGCAACGCTGGTTGTCGGAACTCGCGTCTAAGGATCTCGGCAGCGAACGGGAATCGATCGCCAGGACCGCGAGCAAAATCATTCAGAAGCATCAGAGGATCATCTACTTTTCCGAAAACATCGAGAATCTGTACACGCACATCGCGTTGTTCCTGTTCGCATCGAACACCATACTGATCTGCTCGCTCGGATTTCTCATCGTGACCGTGAGTGCAAACTAGTCCAATATCAGGGATGTCCGTTCTATTCCGTCGAGTCGATTGTTCCGAGAGCTTTCTAGACGCTCGCCCGATTCTTTTTCAGGCGATTGGTTCACCCGACGCCACGGAGCAGATTATGAAGTCTCTCTTGTTTTACACGTCGACGAACCTCGAGGCGTTCCTTTTTTGCTTCGCCGGGGAATATCTGAATAACAAGGTCAGTGGCAAAGCGGAAGAATGAAGTATCGCGGCGAAAACAATCGAATATTTCTAAATGTGAATTCTACCACGTAACATTAAAAAAACGTCGTTTCCACCCTCGTAGAGCAAAAAGATTGGATTCGCGGCGTATAATTGCGCGTGGTACAATTTGAAGCCCAAGGAGAGCCGTATTCTACTGTTCATAATATTAAGGTCGCAGAGGCAATTAACGCTCACGGCTGGGAAGATGATGGATCTCACTTTGGAATCCTTCGCAAGTGTAAGATTCACGTTGAACGATATAATAAATGTAGAGCAATTATTCTCCGTACTCGCGATTCAACGGCTTCCCGTGGCCGTGCGATGTCGCGCGATAAAAGCCGCTGGATAAAAAAATTCCGCCGTCCGATGACCAGGAGCATTTTAATTCGCGCTTGCAACATGTTGACTTGTAGATCATGAACGCATCGGGATCGTACCTGTCGGTGCTGTTGGCGATGCAATGAACGTCGCTCGATGACTCTCGATCGGTAGTGATCGGTAGTGAAGCGTGAAGTGTACCGGGCGGATATGTAAATATATCTTCACTAGTTATACAGACACACACGCATTGTAATAGCGCTTATCTCTCGCTCAAATATATTCCGCGAAGCGTATGTGATTCACGGAATCATTTGCAGGACAACGTTGTCAACCGCCCGAGAAATTGTCCGTAGCATTTGCTTGGGGACTGAAACAACCACGATTGTTTCCACGGATCGTAAAATAAAGAAAAGCCCAGAAGGAAAGTAATCAAACGAAGTGAAAGAAATGAAAAAGAAACTTGCGGATCGAACGCAGCTCGAGCGGAGAAAGAGCGTCGCACACGCAGAGGGGGACACGTAGTCTCGCGATAAATCGGTCATTTCTTCTCCGACGTGTCACACCTTTTAAATATTAGAGCCAACACCGAAGTTCAGTGAACGCGATCGCATATACAGCGTTCTCGCACGCAATATTGTATATTTAAAGCGGACAATTCGCGGCTGCGCCGCCCACCGAGCCAAGGAGCTTCCCTCTTCCAAGGGAGAAACAAATCCAATTGTTCTCTCTACTTGCCATTAAAATTACCAGAACTCTCTGTGTACGGCGAATATAGTCGCAATTTACATACGGTACAATAAGAATATTTAATGAGAGGCTCCCATTGGTCGGCGGAGTCGCAGTCAGAGGCGCAGTCGATGATGACTCTTCGGCATTGTGCGATTACTCCACGATACACTGCAAACGTTGAATACGTTGGGACTCGCGGCGGAGATACTTCCTCGTTTCGCACCCATTCGATGCACTCGGTCGATTAGACGTGACGAGAACGAGAAGCAAGCGAGCATGACGATCAAGAGGAGCACGATTAATCGTACATTAGAATTCATGTTCACTCTGTTCGGCATCTGGCCGGGTGCCTCGTACGTATTGGTGCGCCGAATGTTCTGGATCGTTACAATAGTAATCGTCCAATACTGTCATTACCGGTACCTGCTCACACACTTTTACTCCGACGATCTCTTCAACCTGATGGACTGCCTGAGCAGCCTGCTGGCGTATGCGAAGGTGATGAGCAAACTCGTTATGTTTTGGTTGAATCAACGGTAAGTAGCGCGGTCGAGCGACGGTGTACTTATCTTACGAACGCACCGCGTTTGCGAACGTCGCGACGTTGTAGAAATGGTGACCCGCGGCGAAAGCGAGCCGACCGCTTGCTTGTTTCGTTTATTCAATTGTGCTGACTAATTAAGCCGCACGACGGGGTCCGGTTGAATAATTACATACTGTGTATGTACTCGCGCGAATTCGACGTTTACCTACTTTTAGCGTGAGCATGCTTCCGAAAAACGATAACATTCTCAAAGAGCCGGGAAAAAGAGAGAGAGAGAGAGAGAGAGAGAGATGTATACATAAATAAATAAATAGAAAGAAAGAGAAGAAGGAGAAGAAGAGAAAAATCTGTCTATTAGTCTATAACTGCATTCTTAAAAATCTACATTCTAAATTTGGCGCATTCATTTAATATAATTTGCAACCTACTTCCGGAAGGATTTTATATTTCTTTAACCCCTTGGGTACCGATTTATTTGAGAAAATATTTGCATGTGGAACGGATATAATTTTTGGTTGCTTGGAGTAGTATGTAAAAGCAGTACATTTTACGTAAGAATTTATTTATTTCTAAAATATTGGTGACATATGTAGTATTAAGATGTCTTCAAGTAATTAGAATCGCAAAACAAAAATAAATTAATAACAACNCGAAAGGAAGTAATGCCTGCCTTGGTTGTGCAGTTGATTTTAGAATATAAAACATGAGCATTATAAAAGGCCATATCTATTAGATAAAAAAACATTTTCTTATAACCCTTTACACATTTTCTCATAACTGGGAAGCACGCTAGCAATTGGTCTTGTTGAATAACGTCTCTCAGACGTCAAATATACCCAAGAGTTTAATTTTTGGTTTGACGTCTTAAACACGTCATCCGCTCCTAGGGGAAAAAAGTGAATGACGTGTCTCAGACGTCAAATGTACCCAAGAGGTTAATATTCTATTGATTCTCTGGTAACCTATTGTACATATTCAAACCGTGATAAAGAGAGAGAGAGAGAGAGAGAGAGAAGGGAAAAGAGAGAATTCGACGAGAAAATCCGCTCGAGTGGAGCAACCGTGGTCGACGTTGCGAATGCAGGCGTTTTTCGGAGAAGACGGTTTCCCGATCGATTATTAACGCGTCCGATCATCCGCAGAAAATTCGTCGAGACGTTGACGATGGTGGCGAAGGACTGGGACGATAGCGCTAACAGCGAGTTCAGCGTACGCGAGACGATGTCCAGAGCGAAATTATCGGATCGCATCACAAACGCGATCATCACTCTGCACACGTTAAGCGCCATCGCGTACAGCAGCCGCGCCGTGCTTGCCAGCACCGATATCAACGACTCCACATCCGAGCCGCTCTACGTGCACAAAGTGGAGATTCCTTTCAACGTGGACAAGCAACGGACGTACGGGACGATCTTGACCGCGCAATTAGTGTACGTCGTGATGGGCAGCTGGGCGGCCGGTGCTGTCAACTCGTTGCTTTTGACTCTGGTAAGACGCGAATACCAGGTGGGCTAATTTATAACCATCGCTGTACCGTCAGAGTACTTAATTTTGCTCTTATTTTGCTCGTAACATTCAATATTAATTTTCATTTTAATTCATGGATCTGATGTTATAATTTTGGAATTTTTGACAGTTCTAACCACTTGTGAATGTCGATGTGATTTTGATTACTTCTTAGAGGAAGCGTTTCGAAAAACAAGAAGAAAATTTACTTTCTTTTAGACGGATAGAAATCAGTCTATCTTGAAATGAGCATATAATATGGCGTATCGAGGATTAAACGAAATCAGTATTTCTGTGTTCTCAAACTTCGCGAGCGGAGCTTGAAAAGCTTCGATCTCTAATCGCATCTAATCGCATTTGTGCCCCTTCTGTACTCTATTGCAACTTTATGCTCTAGATCGCAGTTCTTCCTTCTCTTTCCTTTGTCGAACTACGGCATATTTCTTGTTTTCAGATCTTACACATAGGCGGCCAAATGGACATCGTGCGTTCCTGGTTGAAGGAGTTTGCGTCCCAAGAGGGCGAGAAAAAGTCGAGTGTCGCGAAGACTAATGAAATCGTCGAGAAACATCGGAGGATCATCAACTTATCGGAAAACGTCGAGAATCTGTATACGCACATCGCGCTGATGCAGTTCGCGTCGAACACGATAATGATTTGCTCGCTAGCGTTTCTCATCGTGAGCGTAAGTAAAAAATCGAGAATATCGCGTACCCTCGATAAGATGGATGCTCGCCGTTTCTTGCGTCGTCGCGATATGTCGATTTATAAACGTAAACGCGACAGAGACAGCCGCACGCGCGAATACACTAATGAGCTTTTGCATGCCGGTTTGATGTTACAGGCGATAGGCACCCCCGACGCGGTAGAGCAGATAATGAGATCCCTTTTATTTTACGCCATAACGAATCTCGAAGCGTTCGTGTTCTGCTTCGCCGGGGAGTATCTGAGGAACAAGGTTAGCACGGTGAGACGATAATTACGACGATTATGTGAACGTACGCGGAAAAAGTGCCAGATTCGAGCAAATAATTGCCCCAACATTTCCCAACAAATTCATCGTTAGATCAGTAATGTTTACTTGATCCGAGTAAAATATTTTCCAAGTAAATTATTCAAGTAAAATATACTTACTTCATCCGAATAAAATTTATCTGATCTAAGTAAAATTTCGCCAAGGAGTATTGGAATAATTATTCACTTGAATCTAATCTTTTTCTGCGTAATAATAACGGATGCAATGTATTCGCTATGTTAAAAAGGGATACTGTAAGATATACCGTAATCGATAATATGAAAATCTCCTCATATAACTTCTGTCTTCGCAGAGCAAAGAGATCGGAGCCGCCGCTTACAATTGCGCGTGGTACAACTTAAAGCCTGAACACAGTCGTTTGTTGATGCTCGTAATACTCAGGTCGCAAAAGCAATTAGCGCTCACTGTGGGAAAGATGACGGATCTCTCTTTAGAATACTTTGCAAGCGTAAGAGAATCGTGCGCACGAAATCATTTCGCACCGTAATTTTATTCATACACTGAGAAGAAAAGTTGCGGAATCAACAAAATTTTGCTCAATCGAGCGGAATTTTTCAAAGCACAACGTTCAATCCACTAAACAAATTATGCAGCTGATGTAATGAGTTATCAATTGTTTTAACGATTGCGATTTGGTCAGCAACTGTATCAACGCAACGTATTGTTGCGCCAACGCACAATTTCCCCAGTGAACACGATACTTTTTCTCAATGTAATGTGACGGTCGGAAATGTTTCGTTATAATATTTCAGAATTAATAAATTAATAATAGGGACATATTGCTGGAATAAATAGCTTTCTGTATCGACGTACTAACCAGTACAGTCAATCTCCGAGTACCCGGATATTTGGATACCCGAGTCTGTCGAGTATTTCTCGAAGACCCCGATAACCGATTACTTTACCAGTTACTCGAATACTCGAATGTATTCTTTTTAATGAGTTAACCTTAAACTTCAACGCCATAATATTTAGTATGCACTTATTTGCCATGACTCTGTAAATGGTTGTTTTTAATGCAAACAACAATATTATTATAGATCATGAACGCCTCTGGATCGTATTTGTCGGTGATGTTGGCGATGCAATGAACAACACCACGACATCGATTTCTTGCCAGTACTTGCGAAGCATGCAGCGAATAGCGCGTAAATCACCGGGAAAGATACATTGCAACATAGCCTCTTATTTCAGATATGTTTTCTTAGCTGAATTGATTACACGACATAAAATGAGTTTATAATGTATTAAATTGTCAAGCGAAACCGAGATATATTGTGCTTACAGTAAAAATTAGATAAAATATTAGGTTGGTGCAAATGAAATGGCCGTTTATAAATATAAAGTTGAAACTTATATTTTTCAAATTTATAACTTACGTAACTAATCAAAATAGCTTCCACCTATTTCAATATACTTCTGCCAACGTGATCCAAGTGCATCAATGCACTTTCTAAAAAAATCTAAGGAGTGTGAATCGATAAACTCCTTAATGCATTTTTCACACTTCTTTCTTCATTGAAATTTTTGCCCGCCAAAAACGCATCCAGATGCTTGAAAAGATGATAATCTGTTGGTGAGATGTCTAGAGAATAGAGAGGGTGAAGGAAAACTTCAATGTTCACTCGGCGAGTTTTTGAACGGTTTGTTTTGCAATGTGTGGTCTAGCGTTATCGTGCAACATGCCGTGTCTGTTGACCAATGCTGGCTGTTGAGCGCACAGTTTTTGGTGCATGGTGGCAATTTCCTGACAGTACTTATCAGAATTTATAACCTCACCTTATTTGGTAAATAAATAGTGAACGATACCTTTACTAGACCACCATACAGACATCATCATTTTCTTGGAGTGAAGATTCGATTTTGGAGCCTCATTCGTATGTAACCACTACGCAGAACGTCGGTGGTTGTCGTATAAAATCCATTTTTCATCATAAGTCACAATCCTGTGTACAATTCCATCTGTATTCTGTCGCAATCGCAAAGAAATGCAAATCTCCAAACGTCTCAATTTGTTTCTCTCTATGATTTCATGGAGGACCCATTTACCCAATTTTTTCACTTTTCCCAACTTGTTTAAATGTCGGACGGCAGTTGAATGATCAACTTCGAATCTTTTGACAATCTTTCAGACTGTTAACCTTGGATCTGTTTCAACCATTTCCTTCAAAACAACGTCATCAATAACGGAAGGTGCGTGTCCGCGAGACAAATTGTCGAGGTTTGTGTCCCCAGAGCGAAATTTTTCAAATCAATCCCTCGTCGTTCTTTCACTTACAGTACCTTCACCAAATGCAGTATGAATGTTACGCGTTGCCTCGGCTGCAATATGATCAAATTTGAACTCGTGTAAGTAAATTATACAAATTTCTCTATTTTCCATCATGGCGCTAATACAAACTTCTATGACTAACAGTATAATATAGAAATAAGGTTATGTGCGCTAAATCACATAAGGATCATGTACTTTTCACACAGTATATATACACCGTCCTCTGTATGAAAGAAAAGTAATCTATAGGAGTGGGAAATTTAAAACACTGAAAACGGCCATTTCATTTGCACCAACCTAATATATTCGAGATGGGGACATCATTGAAATAAATATCTCTCCATGTCGATGTATTAAACAGAAGTGTCGATTTCCGAATATCTGAGTATTTAGATAACTGTTCTAATACCCGAGTCCATTGGATATTTCTCGAGTAGCTCGATAGACGATTACTTTACTAGTTACCCGGATACTCGAGTATCTGAATCGGTATATACTTTAGAAAAACGAGAAGACATGCAAAATCAGCTAATATGACGCTAATATATGACGCTACGTACTAAGCTCGTTATTTTTTGGTTGAATCAACGGTAAGTGACGTAACGTAAGGAACGCGTACGCGGTATGAAAAGTATTCGGTTGATTCGGAAGTCTTTTCCCACAGAATATACGTGTGTCGGCATATTTCTGTTCGAAAAATGCTTCCTTCACTTGTCCGACATTTTCGACATTTGTGGAAAAGGACATTTTAATCCTATTCTCACATTCAATTCTCAAATTTAAATTAAATATTTTAAAATTCGATTTCCGAATTTAATAAGTATTACGATCGATACGATAAATCGCAGCACGTGAAGCGCAAACGCGTGATTGTGTGTAGAACTTTCGGCAAAATCTTAAAAATGATGGCAGACGACTGGATCGCTAACAGCGACATGGAGATGCGCGAGACGACGAACAAAGCGAAAACATCGGACTGCATCAACAACGGGGCCGTCGTCTTTCACGCGGTTAACGTGATTGTGTACAGCTTCGTTAACATTACAATCGACACCGACGTCACTGATCACACCAATGAAATAATTCACATCCACAAAATTCCATTCGACATACGCACGCAGAGCATCTACAGATTCGTATTAATCATCGAGCTGGTGCACTTCGTCGTGTGCGCCGTAGCGATCTGTATTCTGAACATTTTGCCCATAAGCTTCGTAAGTGCGTGTTTAACGCGAACGACGTGTCGGTGTAAGGAAAATGAAAGAAAAAAGAAAAAGTAATACCTGTGAATGTCGAAAAAAATCTCGAGCGCCTTCGAGCTCTTGGCAGCCGCAAACGTTAAAGCGGTATGTTTGCTTCGTTCGATACGCTAATTAAACGTTGATCCATCAAATTCGTTGCTCCGAAGGAAATTCCTTAATTTCCCGGCTGAACATGAATCTCCACTTTCATAGGCGGTGGGCTGTTTCTTTTTAGACCCTACACGTGGGTGGCCAAATAGACATACTGCATTGCTGGTTGGCGGAACTCGTGGTCGAGGGAACCGGGAAAAAAAGCGGGTCTGTCGTCAGCATGATACCTAAGATCATTCGGAAACATCAGAAAATCATTCGCCTTTCGGAGAACATCGTGAGCATGTATTCGCTCATCGCATTGGTGCACTTCATATCGAACGTGATTATTATTTGTTTAGTAGGATTTCTGTTCATAACGGTGAGTAAAGCGTATGAAATATCCAATAATACGAACAGAGAAATATGTATAATTAATATTAAATATTTAATTGCTACGCGGACCGCCACGTTTTCGATATCGTTTATGCGTGTTTGTTTGCGTTCGATTGATTATGTTAATATTATACATCATTAATTTCTCTATATTGCATTCGCGTATAGAAAATAGCGCTGATAAAGGCAACTGGTTTCGCGGTTTAACGCCACGTCAAATACGTTCGTTTCGCGTTTCATTTCGATATTACAGGCAATTCCGACACGGCAGGAAAGATAGTGCGATCACTTACGTACTGCGTGACGAATGTGGAAGGGTTCATCTTCCGCTGCGCTGGAGAATATTTGATGAACAAGGTTAGCGATGAGGGGGGTGAGATTATAGTAGAATGATTGAGAAGCGATGAGAATAATACGAGAAATTTCCTCAAGGACAATACGAAGAATCCCCGTCACTTTTCATCTTTACTTTCGCAAAGCAAAGCGATCGGACACGCTGCGTATGATACCGCCTGGTGCGACATGCAACCGAAACATTGTCGCATTTTGTTGTTCATTATACTGAGATCGCAGAAGCAATTGACGCTCACAGTTGGAAAATTGATGGACCTCTCGCTGCAAACATTCGCGAGTGTAAGCCGCACTTCGTGCATGCTGCACAAAACAGTTCCCTTGATTGCTCGCGACGTTTCTGGTTGTTCCTTCGATGTTTTCGCGGATTAAAAATTAAATCGTCAGAAATCCTGTTGGTGTTCCATGAAAAATGAGTAAAATCGAATAAGGTTGTTATTCTCAGGCGCAAAATAAAAAATAAGCATGTGTGCATCAGTAAATCAATTTTAATTAAATCAATGCTATGTTTAGATCCTTTTCCGTAAAATTTTCAAAATGTGCTGATTTATTAGTGCATCCACGCTTGTTTATTTATTTTATATTACACTATGGGGTATATTACACACAGGGTATTACTGGCTCCTCTTTAGCTAATTCCACTGATATCTTCCAACACGTTATCATATGCATCATAATAATGTGTTGGAAAATAAAAATATGTATATGAAGAATATATCGAACTCTCATATGAACAACATTGTAATAGATCATGAATTGCGCGGCATCCTACTTGACGGTGTTGTTGGCGATGCAATGAACATCTCGCACGTGCGTCTCGTTTTCATCCGGACATCACGAAATGCGTATGTTTCGACAACTGACATGCAACTGACATCACTAGTCAGAAAAGCGCATGTAAATAGGACTCTTATAAAATTTGTTATTTATCAAACCGGCTTAATTCTAACACATTTCTCTGAGATTGCATTCTTTGAATCGGGTAATAAAACAATTTCAAAAATTACGTCAAGCTGCGAGCTAAGCTTATTTATGATCACCCAAACCGTAAGCTAACAAAACATTACCGTAGTATAGTCAATGATTTTCACGAATTATCGTACGACTTTCCCTTCAGTGCAAAACTCCTCTTCATTTTCTTGAAATCGTCGCGCGAGACTCTCGGGACGTAGACCACCTGCGTTCATCCGTCTCGCGCGTGCATTTTTAACGGCAAGTGCATACACCGCACCCTAAGCGTCTTGGACGAAAAACGTCTCCCTTTGTTTTTCCTACCATCCGCCAAATTATCGATCATTGAACATGCGTACTGCGCCTACATTGTACGCGGAACGGTAAAAATATTTAATGACCAGTTCCCATTGGTCGTACGTCCCGAAGTACCGCCGTTTGAAGATCTCTCACGACCACTCAGTCCTCGCGCGGCTATTCGATTACACACATCGTGCTCTCATCGGTTACACTTGACTCGAAACACAATTCTGCTCTTATTTTTTCGGGGGGCTTCTTTTCTATATACGTGTACTTCAATGGACTCGCTGTGCACAAGCGAGTACCAGAATTCTAATGAGAAGTACCACACTGTTAATCATGAACCGGCAAAGTTGGAGATAAACGTTGAAATAAAAAACCTACTTAATTAAACTTAAATAAGGGACATTTCGAAGTACGTGTAACCAAATATCCCCTGTAATTACGTAGAGCTTTTATTTCAAAGTGTACTTTTAACTTTGGCGATATTTGGTTAACACTATAAAGTTATCGCTCGCGAGAGTATGATCAATAGCACGGTCAAATACTTGCTGATCTTGTTCGGCATCTGGCCAGATATATCGTACGTAGTGTTATGCAGAGTGTACTGGAGCATGTCATTAACGATTATCCTAGTTTGGCAATACCAATATCTTCTTGTGCATTTTTATACCAATGATTTATTCGACTTGATGGATTGGTTTAGCACCTTTATAGGATTTATGAAATTATTCTTCAAGATCGTCGTCTTTTGGTGGAACCAACGGTAAGTAATCATTTTCCTCGATTAGAAGCAATTTCTCAATGTCCGATTGAATCAAAATCCACAAGTGTCTTCTCATAGAATACACATTTTATTTGCCGGCGCATTTCTATTTGAAAAATGCATCGTTCAAATCAATACTTATCCGGTATTTATCGAAAAATACTTTTAAATCAACTTAATAAATGCTAATCAAAGCGAAGCTTACGAAAGAAGAAGCGAGACGTTAAATTCGTATAATAATTTACAAAAGAGATTGTCTATAGAATATTCAATCGAATTTTGAAAATCATGGCGGAAGATTGGAAGAATTGCGCGAACAGTGATATCGAAATGAGCAAAGCAGTTAACAACGCAAAGATATCGGATTACATTGCCAATGCGATGATCAGTCTGCACACGCTCGCTGTGCTCTTTTATGGCATCGGAATAATGCTAGATGATGTTGATCTTACTGATCCCACGATCGAGATACCTCACATATACAAAATAGAATTTCCATTTAACATAAAGACACAAAGCACGTATAAATTCGTGTTATTCACGGAAATGATACAGCTCATCATAAGTAGTTGGGTAATGGGTATTATAAACACAATGCTCTTGATATTGGTAAGTGCAATTAACAAAATATGTGCAATTAACAAAAACAGACACAATTTACGATTGCACTGAACGTAGGTCGAAATATTATTTTTCGAAACAACTCTGGGAATCTGGACAAGATACTTCAGAATATTTAATAGAAACGCCTGTTTAGATAGATATTTTAATTTTTTAAAGTTTTTCCTTAAATATATCACTTACATAAGATTATTCTTGAGTGAATTGCTTGAATATGAATTTTCATTTTCATGAGAGGACATTTTCTTTTCAGACCATACACATAGGCGGTCAAATAGATATATTATGTTGCTGGTTGACGGAACTAGTGTCTGTAGAGGATACAAACAATAATAGAACTAAAATGATGGAAAAAATCATTCAAAAACATCAAAAAATCATATATTTCACGGAAAATATCGAAAATTTATATACATTTATTGCGTTGATGCAATTTGCAACGAACGTGCTAATGATTTGCCTATTAGGATTTTTAATTATAACTGTGAGTAAAACTGTTAATTATACAAATACAACAGTTAAACAAAGATAAACACGCGTGTCGGTTCGTGAAATAATACAGACAGAAGTAAACATTTAATTTGTAAACTTTAATTTTAATCTTTAAACTTTAAGTTTAATCTTTAACCATCAATTAACTTTAATTGCCAAGAATTTAATTAGTTCCTACGCACGATCATATTAAATATTATTTATTCTCTCTGCTTTATTACTATTCAACGTACATATCATGATAAAGACACATGTTTATGACGATCAATAAAGCTAACCGTTCATATAGTCATTGCTATTGCAGGCACTCGGTAATCCCGATGCGACAGGGAAGATAATGAGATCACTTTCGCTTTACAGCGTGACAAATGTAGAAACGTTTATATTCTGCTATGCCGGGGAATATCTAATTAACAAGGTTTGCGAAAATTGTACAGAAAAGTTAGCAACCGGTATTAAAATATTTTGTATTCCTTCTGTACTCCTTCGATTTTTACCTTCGCAGAGCAAAGCGATCGGATATGCTGCGTACGATACCGCCTGGTATGACATGGAACCCAAGCAATGTCGCATTCTTTTGTTTATTATTTTAAGATCGCAGAAGCAATTAACACTCACGATCGGGAAGTTGATGGACCTCTCGTTACAACGTTTTGCGAGTGTAAGTATATCTCGCGCACAACGTGAGACAATTCTTTAGTGGTGTAGGAAGCATTTATATATTTATATATATTCATATATTGCGTAACCTTTCTTTCGTTATATAGATTGTCTGTATATACATTATGTACTTGTAATAATATCCCTAAAAGTGTTTATAACTTGCTATAATTTGCTATAATAAAGGCAAAATAACGGTTTATAATATATGAATCACTAATCGAATTTTGTATTAATTTTGTATTAATTATATTGTAATTGCAATGTGTTGCAGTTATATTGTAATATGTAGTAATAGAATTATAATAATAATGTCTTGTAACTGTCACAGATCATGAACTCTGCGGGTTCGTACATCTCGGTGTTATTGGCGATGGAGTAAAGAATAATATAATAAGGTATTCGACATCTTGTCACCGATAGTTGTGGAGTACGTATCGAATAAACATATCTAAATCACCAGTTAGGAAACGGCACATATAATGTAACTCTCGTGTGATATCTTCTTCGTGATAAACAGAATTAAAAAATTTAATTAGTCGTAAAACAATTTCCAGAAGTAAAGTCGAAACTACGAAATAAGCAATTTCCTCCCTGACTATGAGTTAAAAGCGTACCATAATGTACGAGGAAAAAGCATACGACAACGTACCTCTTGGATTCTATGAATTAGTGGGTGACATTTTCCTTTATCTCGAGCGCGACCCTCCGAAACTCCTCTCTGTTTCCTTGATATATCATTGCGCATGATCCTCGCTCGGCCATAGACCGTCGGGGCTTGTGCAGGTCCGTCCCGCGCGGAATCGTGCATGTTTAACGACAATTGCATATATCGTACCTTAAGTACTCTGGACGAAAAACACCTCTTTTGTCTTCCGTTCGCCAAATTATCGATCATTGAACATGCGTAATGCGCCTATATTGTACGCGGAACGGTAAAATTATTTAATGACCACTTACCTCGGTCGTATGTCCCGAGGTATCGCCGATTGAAGCGCACCTCTCACAACTACTCATTCCTCGCACCGCTATTCGATGACACACATCGTGCCATCATCAGTCACAATTGATTAAAATACAATTCTGTTCTTATTTTTTACGGAGAATTCTTCTCTACGATATACGTGTATATTAATGTACTCTCCGTGCACCAGCGAATACAAGGGTTTTAATGAAAAATATTAAAGTTATCGCTCGTAAGAGCACAATCAATTGCATGGTGAAATATTTGCTCATCTTGTACGGTATATGGCCAAATACATTGTGTGCCTTGTCCTGCAAAGTGTTCTGGAGCGTCTCATTAGCAATTATCCAAGTTTATCATTGCCGATATCTTCTTGTACATTTTTATAGCAATGATGTGTTCGACTTGATGGATTGTTTTAGCACCTTTATAGGATTTATAAAACTATTCTTCAAGATCATCGTCTTTTGGTGGAAACAAGAGTAAGTAATCAATTTCTTCGATTAGAAGCAATTTTTCAATGTCCGGTTGTATCAAGATCCAGAAGTGTCTTCTTACAGAACATACATTTTATATAAAGGCACATTTGTATCTAAAAAATGGTTCCTTCAAATCAACGCTTATTCGGTCTTTATCGAAATAGACTTTTAAATCATCGTAATATATAGCTAAATATGTCAACTCCCTATTTAACATTGCAATATTTTCCGTATAAGTTCCTTTTTTCGCGTTGTTAATGAATTTCGGAAACAAGAAAATTCTAGAAACGGTAAACTGTAATCTACCCACGCAATTCTTACGAAAGAAAAAACGAGACGTTATATTTGTACTGTAATTTACACATACACGATCATCCATAGAATATTCAATCGAATTTTGAAAAGTATGACGGAGGATTGGAAGGATTGCGCGAACAATGATATCGAAATGAGAAAAGCAATTAGCAACGCCAATTTATCGCATTATATTGCCAACGCAATCATCGGTCTACACACAGTCGCTGTGCTCTTTTATGGCATTGGTATAATTCTAAACAATGTCGATCTTACTGATACCACGATCCAGATACCCCACATATACAAAATAGAATTTCCGTTTAATATCCAGACACAAAGCACGTATAAATTCGTGTTAATCACGGAACTGATACAGCTCACCATGAGCAGCTGGGGAATGGGAGTAATAAACGCTTTGCTCTTAGTATTGGTAAGTTATATATGCAATTAATAAAAACGACATAATTTACAATTACATCGAAAGTAGATCGAAACAAAGTTTTTCGTAATCGCCGAGAATTTGAATAAGAAACATGCTAATATTTCATTGAAACATCTGTTCAGACAGATATTTCGATTTTAAACAGTCATTTATCAAATTTTTTGACACTTATACATAATTATTCTACAATCAACTACTTGAACATGAGTCTTCATTTTCATAGGCGGTGGGCTCTTTCTTTTTAGACCCTACACATAGGCGCTCAAATAGATATATTATGTTGCTGGTTGACGGAACTGATGTCCATACAGGGTGCTAACGACAGAAACAACATGATGAAAAAAATCATTCAAAAGCATCAGAAAATCATCTATTTCACGGATAATATCGAAAATTTATACACATTCATTGCGTTACTGCAATTCGTATCAAACGTGCTCATGATTTGCTTATTAGGATTTTTAATTATAACAGTGAGTTGATAAACTGTTAATTATACATATATGAGAAAGAGACACTTTTGTGAAATAATATAGACATAGAAATAAACATTTAATCTGCAAACTTTAATCGCAAAGCGTCTAATCATGTGTTTGCTTCCTACGCACCACTAATTATGTAATATCAATTATGATAATATCACAAACTACTTATTCCTTCTGTTTTATTGCTAATCAAATATATCATAATAAAGACACACGTTTATGACGATCAATAAAGCTTAACGCTCACACAGGATCGCAGGATAATGTAACAATGCTCTTCGCTATTGCAGGCGCTCGATAATCCTAATGCGATGGAGAAGATAATGAGATCACTTTCGTATTACAGCGTGACAAATCTAGAAGCGTTTATATTCTGCTATGCAGGAGAATACCTGATCAACAAGGTTAGCGTCAATTGTTGAGAATCGTTAACAAGCAGTGTTAAAGTGTTGTATAATCCTTCTGTATTCTTTTGTTATTTTTACCCTCACAGAGCAAAGCGATCGGAAACGCCGCGTATGATACCTCCTGGTACAGCATGGAACCCAAACATTGTCGTATTCTTTTATTTATTATTTTAAGATCGCAGAAGCAATTAACACTAACGATCGGGAAAATGATGAACCTCTCGTTGCAACAATTTGCAAATGTAAGTGCGCTTCGCACACATTATATGAAGTAATCCTTTAGTTACGCACAAAGCATTCGTTATGATATATTTATCGCGTTTATATATGTTTATACATTTATGTAACTATTCTCTTGTCATACAAATTGGACGCGCATATTATATTCTCGCAATAATATCTCTAAAAGCATTTATAATCTTGCTTTAATAAAGGTAAAGTAACAATTATAAATATATGAAACTCTTATATTAAATTAATTATAATGTCATTTTAATGTGATGCAATTATATTGTAATGTTATTATAATTACATAGTAATCATAATGTCTTGTAATAATATTATGTTGAGATTATTATGGTATTGTAATTGTCGCAGATCATGAATTCTGCGGGCTCGTACATCTCGGTATTATTGGCGATGCAATAAAAAACAACGTAATGAAGTACTCGCCTCATCCTGTCATCGATAGTTGTAGAGTATGTATCAAATAAATATGTAAATCACTAATTAGCAAACGACACATATAATGTAACTTATGCGTGATATTTTTTCCGAGATGACAAGAGTAAAGAAATTTAATTGGTCGTAAAACCAAATCCATAAATAACGTCGGAAATATAAAATAACAATTTCCACAGCCCCGACAATAAGCTAAAAGCATATCATGAAGTACTCTATAGTTTCCATAAAGCCTCGGGAGACTTCTCCCACCATCTCAAGCGCGATCCTCCGAAACTTCTCTCTGTGTTCTTGATAAATCAATGCGCATGACTCTCGCCCGGCCATAGACAGTCGAGTCTTGTGCACGTCTGTCTCTCGCGAAATTGTGCATTTTTAACGGAAATTGCATACATCGTATTCTGAGCGGTTTTGAACGGAAAACGTCCCCTCCGGTTTTTCCTTCCGTCCGTCAAATCGTTGATCACTGAACACGCGTTTTGCGCTTATACGGTACGAGAAACGATAATAATATTTAATGAACAGCTGTCATTGGTCGTATGTCCCGGGGTACCGCTGTATAATGACCTCTCACGACCACCTAGTCTTCGTGCGTCTTTTCGATGACACACATCGAGCTCTTATCAGCCATATTTGATTAAAACATAATTCTGTTCTTATTTTACCAGGAGAATTATTTTCTACGATATACGTATATATTAATGTACTCGCTGTGCAATAGCGAGTACAAGGATGCTAATGAAAAATACTAAAGTTATCGCTCATAAGAACACGTTCAATCACATGGTGAAATATTTGCTCATCTTGTACGGCATCTGGCCAAATACATCGTGTGTCATGTTCTGCAAAGTGTTTTGGAGCATCTCATTAACAATTATCCAAGTTTACCAGTGTCGATATCTTCTTGTACATTTTTACATCGACGATGTATTCGACTTGATGGATTCCTTTAGTTCCTTTATAGGATATTTGAAATTCTTCGTTAAGATCGTTGTCTTTTGGTGGAACCAACAGTAAGTAATTACTTTCTTCGGTGCAGTAGAAGCAATTTTTCAACGTCTGATTGAACCATTAGGTTTTTCTACAAGTGTCTTCCTGTTGAATACATACTTTATTTGTCAGTACATTTCTATTGGAAAAATGGTTCGTACAAATCAACACTTGTTTGGTCTTTATCGAAAAGACTTTTAAATCATCGTAATATATAGTTAAATATGCCAACTCACTATTTAATGTTGCAATATTTCCTGCGTAAGTTCCTTTTTTCGCGTTACTACTGAATTTCGGAACCAAGAAAATTCTGGAAACAATAAACTGTAATCTCCCAATGCAATTCTTACGAAAGAAAAAACGAGACGTTACACTTGTGCTGTAATTTACATATACACGATCATCTATAGAATATTCAATCGAATTTTGAAAAATATGACGGAAGATTGGGAGGATTGCGCGAACAATGATATTGAAATGAGAAAAACAACTAGCAACGCCAAGTTATCGGATTATATTGCCAACGCGATCATTAGTCTACACACATTCGCTGCGCTCTTTTATGGCATTGGTATAATTCTAAATGATGTCGATCTTACTGATCCCATGATCGAGATACCCCACATATACAAAATAGAATTTCCGTTTAATATCCAGACGCAAAGCACATATAAATTCGTGTTAATCGCGGAACTGATACAACTGATTATGAGCAGCTGGGGAATGGGAGTTATAAACGCTTTGCTCTTAGTATTGGTAAGTTATAACTGCAATTAATAAAAAGGACGCAACATACAATTGCATCGAAAGTAGATCGAAACAAAGTTTTTCGGAAACTCGGAAAATCTGGACAAGATACGTGCAAATATTTCATTGAATCATCTGTCCAAACAGATATTTCGATTTTAAAGAATCCTTTATCAAATTTTTTTGTAACTTAAACATAATTATTCTATAATCAATTGCTTGAACATGAGTCTTCATTTTCATAGACGATGGGCTCTTTCTTTTTAGATCCTACACATAGGCGCTCAAATAGATATATTATGTTGCTGGTTGACGGAACTGATGTCCATACAGGGTGCTAACGACAAAAGCAACATGATGAGAAAAATCATTCAAAAGCATCAGAAAATCATCTATTTCACGGATAATATCGAAAATTTATACACATTCATTGCGTTGCTGCAATTCGTATCAAACGTGCTCATGATTTGCTTATTAGGATTTTTAATTATAACAGTGAGTTAAGAAACTGTTGATTATACATATATGAGAGAGAGATAATTTTGTGAAATAATATAGACATAGAAATAAACATTTATGTGCAAACTTTAATTGCTAAACGTTTAATCATGTGTTTGCTTCCTACGCATGACTAATTACATAGTACCAATTACAATTATATCACAAATTGTTTATTTCTTCTGTTTTATTGCTAATCAAACATATCGTAATAAAAACACATGTTTATGACGATCAATAAAGCTAACCGTATACACAATATTCTTCGCTATTGCAGGCGCTCGATAATCCTAATGCAATGGAGAAGATAATGAGATCACTTTTGTATTTCAGCGTAACAAATTTGGAAGCATTTATATTCTGCTATGCTGGAGAATACCTGATCAACAAGGTTAGCGTCAATTGTTGAAAACCGTTAGCAATTTGTATTAAAGTGTTGTATAATTCTTCTGAATTTATTCGTTACTTTTGCCCTCACAGAGCAAAGCGATCGGAAACGCTGCGTACGATACCTCCTGGTACAACATGGAACTCAAGCAGTGTCGTATTATTTTATTTATTATTTTAAGATCGCAGAAACAATTAATACTAACAACCGGGAAAATGATGAACCTCTCGTTGCAACAATTTGTAAATGTAAGTGCGCTTCGCACACATCGTATGAAGTAATTCTTTAGTTACGCACAAAGCATTTGTTACGATATATTTATCGCGTTTGTATATATTCAAATATTTATGTAATTATTCTTTCGTTATAAAAATTGGAAGTGCATATTATACTGTCGGAATAATATCTCTAAAAGCGTTTATAATCTTGGTTTAATAAAGGTAAAGTAACAATTATAAATATATGGAACTCTCATATTATATTAATTATATTGTAATTTTAATGTGATGCAATTATATTGTAATGTTATTATACTTACATAGTAATCATAATGTTTTGTAACAATATTATATTGAAATTATATTTCAATATAAATTATGTTGAGATTATTATGGTATTGTAATTGTCGCAGATCATGAGTTCTGCGGGCTCGTACATCTCGGTATTATTGGCGATGCAGTAAAACGCAACGTAACGGAGTAATCGCCTCGTCCTCTCATCGATAGTCGTAGAGTACGTATCAAATAAATATGTAAATCACTAGTTAGCACACCACATATATATAATGTAACTTGTGCGTGATACGTTCTCTGAGATAAGCGGAGTAAAGAAATTTAATTAGTCGTAAAATAATTTCCAGAAATAACGTCGAATATATGAAATAAGTAATTTCCACGGCCCTAACCATAAGCTAAAAGTATACCATTGAGTACCCTACTGGGTTTCCACAAAGCCTCGGGTGACTTCTCGCACCATCTCAAGCGCAGTCCTCCAAAACTTCTCTCTGTTTTCTTGAAAAATCAATGCGCATGACTTTCACCCAGTTATAGACAGTCGAGGCCTGTGCGCGTCTGTCTCTCGCGAAATTGTGCATTTTTAACGGAAATTACATACTTCCTGAGCAGTTTTGAACAGAAAACTTTCCCTTCGGTTTTTCCTTCTGTCCGCCAAATCGTTGATCACTGGACACGCGTATTGTGCTTATATGGTACGCGAAACGATAATAATATTTAATGAACAGCTGTCATTGGTCGTACGTCCCGGGGCACCGCCGTATGATGACCTCTCACGACCACCCAGTAGTCTTCGTGCGGCTTTTCGATGACACACATCGAGCTCTCATCGGCCATATTTGATTAAAACACATTAAAACAGTTCTGTTCTTATTTTTCCCGGAAAATTCTTTTCTACGGTATACATGTATATTGATTTATTCGCTGTGCATCAGCGAATGCAGGGCTTCTAATGAAAAATGCTAATGTTATCGCTCGTAAGAGCACGATCAACCGCATGGTGAAATATTTGCTCATCTTATACGGCATCTGGCCAAATACATCGTGTGTCATGTTCTGCAAAGTGTTTTGGAGCATCTCATTAGCGATTATCCAAATTTACCAGTGTCGATACCTTCTTGTACATTTTTACATCGACGACGTGTTCGACTTGATGGATTGTTTTAGTTCCTTTGTAGGATATTTAAAATTCTTCATTAAGATCGTTGTCTTTTGGTGGAACCAACAGTAAGTAATTACTTTCTTCGGTGCAGTAGAAGCAATTTTTCAACGTCTGATTGAACCATTAGGTTTTTCTACAAGTTTCTCCCTGTTGAATACATATTTTATTTGTCGGTACATTTCTATTAGAAAAATGGTTCGTTCCAATTAACACTTGTTCGGTCTTTATCGAAAAAGACTTTTAAATCATCGTAATATATAGCTAAATATGTCAACTCCCTATTTAACATTGCAATATTTTCCGTATAAGTTCCTTTTTTCGCGTTGTTAATGAATTTCGGAAACATGAAAATTCTAGAAACGGTAAACTGTAATCTACCCACGCAATTCTTACAAAAGAAAAAACGTGACGTTATATTTGTACTGTAATTTACACATACACGATCATCCATAGAATATTCAATCGAATTTTGAAAAGTATAACGGAGGATTGGAAGGATTGCGCGAACAATGATATCGAAATGAGAAAAGCAATTAGCAACGCCAATTTATCGCATTATATTGCCAACGCGATCATCGGTCTACATACAGTCGCTGTGCTCTTTTATGGCATTGGTATAATTCTAAACAATGTCGATCTTACTGATACCACGATCCAGATACCCCACATATACAAAATAGAATTTCCGTTTAATATCCAGATGCAAAGCACGTATAAATTCGTGTTAACCGCAGAACTGATACAACTGATTATGAGCAGCTGGGGAATGGGAGTTATAAACGCTTTGCTCTTAGTATTGGTAAGTTATATATGCAATTAATAAAAACGACATAATTTACAATTACATCGAAAGTAGATCGAAACAAAGTTTTTCGTAATCGCCGAGAATCTGAATAAGAAACATGCTAATATTTCATTGAAACATCTGTTCAGACAGATATTTCGATTTTAAACAGTCATTTATCAAACTTTTTGACACTTATACATAATTATTCTACGGTCAACTACTTGAACATGAGTCTTCATTTTCATAGGCGGTGGGCATTTTCTTTTTAGACCCTGCACATAGGCGCTCAAATAGATATATTGTGTTGCTGGTTGACGGAACTGATGTCCGTACAGGGTGCTAACAACAGAAACAATATGATGAGAAAAATCATTCAGAAGCATCAGAAAATCATCTATTTCACGGATAATATCGAAAATTTATACACATTCATTGCGTTGCTGCAATTCGTATCAAACGTGCTCATGATTTGCTTATTAGGATTTTTAATTATAACAGTGAGTCGATAAACTGTTAATTATACATATATGAGAGAAAGATGCGTTTGTGAAATAATATAGACATAGAAATAAACATTTAATCTGCAAACTTTAATCGCTATACGTTTAATCATGTGTTTGCTTCCTACGCACGACTAATTACATAGTATCAATTACAATCTTATCACAAATTGTTTATTCCTTCTGTTTTATTGCTAATCAAACATATCGTAATAAAGACACACCTTCATGACGATCAATAAAGCTAACCGTTCACATAATACTCTTCGCTATTGCAGGCACTCGATAATCCTAATGCGATGGAGAAGATAGTGAGATCGCTTTCGTATTACAGCGTGACAAATCTAGAAGCGTTTATATTCTGCTATGCCGGAGAATACCTGATTAACAAGGTTAACATCAATTGTTGAGAACCGTTAGCAATCGGTATTGATGTGTTGTATAATCCTTCTATATTCTTTCGTTATTTTTACCCTCACAGAGCAAAGCGATCGGAAACGCTGCGTACGATACCTCCTGGTACAACATGGAACCCGAGCAGAGTCGTATTATTTTATTTATTATTTTAAGATCGCAGAAGCAATTAACACTAACGATCGGGAAGATGATGAACCTCTCGTTGCAACAATTTGCAAATGTAAGTGCGCTTCGCACATATCGTATGAAGCAACCTTTTAATTACGCATACAAAGCATTCGTGTTTTCTTATGATATATTTACCGTTGTAATATGTTTATCGCGTTTATATATATTTAAATATTTATGTAACTATTCTCTTGTCATACTTATTGGATGTGCATATTATATTCTCGCAATAATATCTCTAAAAGCGTTTATAATCTTACTTTAATAAAGGTAAAATAATAATTACAAATATATGAATCTTTTATATTGAATTAATTATATTGTAATTTTAATGTGGTTGCAATTATACTGTAATGTTATTATAATTACATAGTAATCATAATGTCTTTTAATAATGTTACATTAAAATTATATTTCAATCTAAATTATATTAAAATTATTATAGTATTGTAATTGTTGCAGATTATGAATTCTGCAGGCTCGTACATCTCGGTATTATTGGCGATGCAGTAAAAAGCACCGTAACGAAGTAATCGCCTCGTCCTCTCATCGATAGTCGTAGAGTACGTATTAAATAAATATGAAAATCACTAGTTAGCAAACATATAATGTTACTTGTGCGTGATATGTTCTCTGCGATAAGCAGAATGAAGGAATTTAATTAATCGTAAAATAATTTCCAGAAGTAAAGTCGAAAATACGAAATAAGCAATTTCCACGGCTCTGACCATAAGGTAAAAGTATACCATACCCTATGGTTTCCACTAAGCCTCGGGTGACTTCTACCACCATCTCAAGCGCGTTCTTTCAAAACTGCTCTCTGTTTTATTGAAATCATTGCGCATGACTTTTCCCCAGCCAAAGACCGCCGTAGCTTGTATGCATCTGTCTCCTACGAAATCATGCATTTTTCACGACAATTGCATGTACCGTACCCTCAACGCTTTAGACGGGACAACATCCCCTTCGGTTTCCATTCTGTCTGCCAAACTGGCGATTATTGAACACGCATACTGCATTCTACGCGGAACGATACAAATATTTAATGACCCGCTCCCATTGGTCATACGTGCCAGAGTATCGCCGTTTGATAACTTCTCACGACCACCCAGTCTTCACGCGACTATTCAATGACACCCTTCGACCTCTCATGAGTTACGCTTGGTTAAAACATAATTCGGTCCCTATATTTACTGGAGTATTTTTTTCTACGATATACTTATATCTCGATACAGTCGCTGTGCATCAGCGAGTACAGGGGTTGTAATGAGAAACACTAAAATTGTTGCTCGCAGGAGCACGATCAATCGCATGATGAAATTCTTGCTCACATTATTCGGTATCTGGCCAGATACATTGTGCGTCACATTCTGCAGAATGTTCTGGATGATCTTATTGGGAGTTCTCGAAGTTTGCCTATACCGACACCTTCTTACACATCTTTATTCCAGTGATGTGTTCGAATTGATGGATTGTTTTAGTACCCTCATAGGATATGTGAAGTTATCCCTCAAGTTTAGTATCTTTTGGTGGAACCAGGGGTGTGTAACTGTTTCCTTCAATCGGATAGAACAACAATTTCCTCGTTGTTTTGTTATATAGAGACATGAATTTTCCCTTTGAGCCATATTAGATTCACTCAGAAATTTTCTCTCATCCAATATATAATTCAGTCACCGGCATATATTTATTTAAAATTAAAAACGCTTTTCTCATATTAACACTTTTTCAATGTTAATAAGAGAAGATTTTTGAATCAACATAACATATGGTTAAACGTATCTATTTCTCATCTATTATTATAATATTTTTCATATCTCCTTCTTTTGCGCTATTGCTGATTTTCGGAATAGTCGAGAAAATTCCAAAGACGCAAAACTGAAAAATTGGTGGTGAACGTGGTTTCTCCGAATATAGAAATAAGACTTTAAAATAAAATAATGAGTTACATGAACAATCTTCTATAGAGTATTCAATCAAATCTTGAAAATGATGACGGAGGATTGGAAGGATTGCGCAAACAATGATAGTGAAATGTATAAAGCAGTCAGCAAGGCGAAGTTATCGGATTACATTGTTAATGCGACCATCAGTCTACACACAGTCGCTGTGTTCTTTTACTGCATCAATACCGTTTTAGACAATGTCGATATTACCGATCCCACGATTGAGATACCCCACATATACAAAATGGAATTTCCACTTGACATAAAGACACAAAGCACATACAAATTTGTTTTAATTATAGAAATGATACATGTTCTAGTGAGCAGTTGGGGATTAGGTATTTTAAATGTTTTACTTTTGACATTGGTGAGCTATATATGCAATTAATAAAATAGAAAACAATTTACAATTCCACCGAAAATGAATCAAAACGCTATTTTGCGCGGAATATCTGGAATTTAGGCACTATATATTTAATCGAAACATTTGCTCAAACATCTATTCAGATATTTTATTTCTGGAAATTTTCTTTAATTTTCCGCTTACATGAGACTATCTTTGAATCAACTGCTTAAACATGAGTCTTCATTTTCATAGGCGGAGAACTCTTTCTTTTTAGACCCTACACATAGGTGGCCAAATAGACATATTGGTTTGCTGGTTAACGAAAGTAATGTCCATAGATAGTGCCAACAAACACAGATCTAACATATTGAGAAAGATTATTCAGAAACATCAGAAAATCATTTATTTCGCGGAGAATATCGAGAAACTGTACACATTAATCGCATTGCTGCAATTTGCGACAAATGTAGTGATGATTTGTCTATTAGGATTTTTAATTATAATAGTAAGTAAAACTGATAATTATGCATTTATAAGAGCAGAACAGATATGCACGCATGTGCGTTTGTGAAATAACATGGATAGAAATAATTATTTAATCTGCAAAATTTAATTGCTATGCATTTAATCGTATGTCCACTTCTTGTGTAGAACTAATTACGTTCATGTCACATACTGCTTATTCCGCCTATTTTATTGCGTGTTTTCATTGTTCCGTTTTACTTACGTTTCATTAAATACATCAATAATGACATACATTCATGATCAATAAAGCTAATTGTTTATATGCGCTATTCACTATTGCAGGCACTCGATACTCCTGATGCGACAGAGAAGATAATGAGATCACTTTCATATTATAGCGTAACAAACTTAGAAGCGTTTATATTCTGCTATGCCGGAGAATACCTGATCAACAAAGTTAGTGACAATTACTGACAACGATTAGAAAACGGTATTAGAATATTCTATAATCGTCTCTTCGTTTTTTATCTTCCTAGAGCAAAGCGATCGGATACGCTGCGTACAATGCAGCCTGGTATAATATGGAACCTAAGCATAGTCGCATTTTGTGGATTATTATTTTAAGATCGCAAAAAGAATTAACGCTTACGATCGGAAAGTTGATGGATCTCTCATTACGTCGCTTTGCAAGTGTAAGTGTGACTTATCCGTAGCGTATGAGGCAATCATTTAGATGCACACAAAACATTCATCGTGATATATTTGTCACATTTATATATTAAACATTTTCGTAACTTCCTACTCGTTAAATGTATTGGGTATGTGTGTTGTATATTCGTTACAATATATTTAAAAGTGTACACCCACACATAAACAGATATACATGTATATTCTCTATATATTACAACATAAATACAGAACATTTTTATATATTTATAATTATAATGTAATATATATGTATTATTATGTATATATATATACATAAGATCATATGTATATATTGTTGTAATAATGTACTGTAATGTAATTGTAATTATATTGCAATTGTTATAGATCATGAATTCCGCGGGGTCATACATCTCGGTGTTATTAGCGATGCAATAAAAATCCACATAATGAAGTATTCTTCTCGTCTCATGTCTTGCCATCAATAGTGAAATATGTATCGAATAAATTTGTAAATTTCAGGTTACTGAACAACACATATAATACTATTGGCGAGCGATACCTTCTCCCAGGTGGGAAGAACAAAGAAATTTAATTAATCGTAAAACAATTTCCAGAAATAACGTCGGAACTATGAAGTAAGCAATTTCTACGGCTCTGACCATAAACTAAAAGTATACCATAATGTAGCCCACGACTTTCACAAATCCTCGAACGACTTCTGCCATATCGAGCATAACTTTCTGAAACTCCTCTCTGTTTCTTGAAATTAATACGCATGACATTCGCCGGGCTATAAGCCATTGTGCCCGTCTATCTCTTGCGAGGTCGTGCATATTTAATGACAATTGCATGCACCGTACTCTCAACGCTTTGGATGGGGCAACATCCCCCTCGGTTTCCATTTCGTCCGCCAAACCGGCGATTATTGAACACGCATACTGCGCCTACATGCTACGCGGAACGATACAAATATTTAATGACCCGCTCCCATTGGTCATACATCCCAGAGAATCGCCGTTTGATAACTTCTCACGACCACCCAGTCTTCGCGCGACCATTCGATGATACACATCGATCTCTCATCGGTTACGCTTGGTTAAAACATAATTCGGTTCCTGTATTTACTGAAGTACTTTTTCCTACGATATATTTGCACATCGATACGCTCACTGTGCATCAGTGAGCACAGAGGTTCTAATGAGAAACATTAAAGTTGTTGCTCGCAAAAGCGTGATCAATCACGTGATGAAATTCATACTCACATTGTTCGGTATTTGGCCAGATACATTATGCGTCGCATTCAGCAGAATATTCTGGATAACATCAATAGGAATTCTCGAATTTGGCCTGTACCGATACCTTCTTACACATTTCAATTCCAGTGATGTGTTCGAATTGATGGAGTGTTTTAGTGCCCTTATAGGATACATAAAGTTATCCCTCAAATTTAGTATCTTCTGGTGGAATCAAGGGTAAATCAATAAACTGCTCTCTTCAATCGAATAGAAGCAACTCAAGCCATGATTTCCTCGTTGTTTTGTTATATAGAGACATGAACCTTCCTCTTGAGCCATATTAAATTCACTCAGAAGTCTCCTCTCATTGAATATATAATTCATTTAACGGCATATATTTATTAAAAAAAAAAAATACACTTTTTTCATATTAACCCTTTTTCAATTTTAATAAGAGAAGATTCATGAATCAACCTAACAAATTGTTAAACATGTCTATTTCTTATCTATTATAATATTTTCCACATGATCTTCTTCTTTCGCGCTATTGCTGAAGTCCGGAAAAGTCGAGAAAATTCCAAAAATGAAAAATTGAAAACTTGGTGGTCAACGTGATTTTTCCGAATATAGAAATAAGATATTAAAGTCGCATAATGAGTTACATAAACAATCTTCTATAGATTATTCAATAAAATCTTGAAAATGATGATGGAGGATTGGAAGGATTGCGCAAACAATGATATTGAAATGTGCAAAGCAGAAAGCAAGGCGAAGATATCGGATTACATTGTTAATGCGACCGTCAGTCTACACACAGTCGCTGTGTTTTTTTATTGCATATCCTTTGTAATCAATGCCGATATTATCGATCCCACGATTGAGACACCCCACATAAGCAAAATGAAATTTCCATTTGACGTAAAGATACAAAACATGTACAAATTCGTATTAATTACAGAAATGATACATCTTCTAGTGGTCAGTTGGGGATTAGGTATTTTAAATGTTTTACTTTTGACATTGGTGAGCTATATATGCAATTAATAAAATAGAAAACAATTTACAATTCCACCGAAAATGAATCAAAACGCTATTTTACGCGGAATTTCTGGAATTTAGGCACAATATATTGAATCGAAACATCTGTTCAAACATCTACTCAGATATTTTAATTCTGGAAATTTTCTCTAATTTGCCGTTTACATAAAACTATCTTTGAATCAATTGCTTAAACATGAGTTTCCATTTTCATAGGCGACAGACTCTTTCTTTTTAGACCCTACACATAGATGGTCAAATAGATATACTACTTTACTGGTTGGGGGAAGTAATATCCATGGGTAGTGACAATAATTACAGATCCAACATATTAAGGAAGATTATTCAGAAACATCAGAAAATCATCTATTTCGCCGAAAATGTTGAGAAATTGTACAGATTAATCGCATTGGTGCTATTTGCGATAAATATAGTAATGATTGGTCTATTAGGATTTTTAATTATAATAGTAAGTAAAACTTTTAATTATGCATTTATAAGAGCAAAACAGATACGCACGCGTGTGCGGTTTGTGAAATAACATAGAGAGAAATAATTATTTAATCTGTAAAATTTAATTGCTATGCTTTTAATCGTGTGTTCACTTCCTGTGTAGAACTAATTACGTTCATATCGCCTACTGCTTATTTCGTCTATTTTATTGCGTGTTTTCATTACTCTGTTTTACTTACGTTTTATTAAATATACCAATAATGACATACATTCATAATCAATAAAGGTAACCGCTTATATACGCTATTGCAGGCGCTCGATACTCCTGACGCGACGCAGAAGATAATGAAATCACTTATGTTTTACGTCGTTACAAATTTAGAAATGTTTATATACTGCTATTCAGGGGAATACCTGATCAACAAGGTTAGTGACAATCACTGGTAACAATTAGAATGCGGTATTAAAATATTCAGTAATCGTTTCTTCGTTTTTTTATCTTTGCAGAGCAAAGCGGTCGGATACGCTGCGTACGATGTAGCCTGGTATAATATGAAACCTAAGCACATTCGCATTCTAGTGATCATTATTTTAAGATCGCAAAAAGAATTAACATTCACGATCGGGAAAATGATGGATCTCTCGTTACGTCGCTTTGCAAGTGTAAGTGTGGCTCACCCGTAGTGTATGAGGCAATCCTTTAGTTGCACACAATGCATTCGTCGTAATATATTTGTTACGTATATATTGAAACATTTTCGTAACTTTCTACTCGTATTGGTTGTGCATGTTGTATTCTCGCTACAATATACTTAAAAGTGCACACACATAAATATAAACAGATACACACGTATATTCTCTATATATTATAATATATATACAGAAAATTTTTATAAATTTATAATTATAATATATATCGACATAACATCATATTTATATATGTATATATATATATATGTATATATTATTGCAATAATGTACTGTAATATAATTATATTGCAATTGTTATAGATCATGAATTCTGCGGGGTCATTTATCTCGGTGTTATTAGCGATGCAATAAAAATCCATATAATGAAGTATTCTTCTCACGTCTTGCCCCCGATAGTTGTGAAATATGTATCAAATAAATTTGTAAATTACTAGTTAGTGAAAAACACATATAATATTATTGGCGAGCAACGTCTTGTCCCAGGTGGAAAAAATAAACAAATTAAATTAATCATAAAAGAATTTCCAAAAATAACGTCGAAACTATGAAGTGAACAATTTCCACAGCTCCGAGTATAAACTAAAAGTATATAATATAATAATGTAGCCCACGATTTTCACAAATCCTCGAACGACTTCTCCTACCATTTTGAGCATGACCTTTTGAAACTTCTCTCTGTTTGTTGAAATCAATACGCATGACTTTCGCTGGGCCATAAGCCATTGTGGTTTGTGCGCGTCTGTCTCTTGCGAGATCGTGCATTTTTAATGGCAATTGCATGCACCATACCCTGAGCGTTTTAGACGGAACAACATCCCCTTCGGTTTCCTTTACATCCGCCAAATCAACGATCATCGAACATGCGTGCTGCGCCTATATTCCACGCGGAACAATAAAAATATTTAATGACCAGCTCCTATTAGTCGTATGTACCGTCGTTTGATAACCTCCACCTCACGACCACTCAGTCTTCACGCGGCTATTCGATGACACACATCGATTTCTCATCGGTTGCACTTTGGTAAAACATAATTCTGTTCTTATCTTTGCTGAAGTATTTTTTCTACAATATACGTGTATCTCTCGATGCACTCGCTGTATATCAGCGAGCACAGGTATTATAATGAGAAGTACTAAAGTTGTGGCTCGCAAAAGCACGATCAATTGCACGATCAAATTCTTGCTCATAGTGCTCGGTATATGGCCCGACACATTATCCGTCACATTCTCTAGAATATTCTGGAGTATCTCATTAGGGGCTCTCGAAGTTTGCCAGTACCGATACCTCCTCACACATCTTTATTCCAGTGATGTGTTCGAGTTGATGGATTGTTTCGGCGCCTTTATAGGATTCGTGAAGTTCTCCTTCAAGATCAGTATCTTTTGGTGGAATCAGCGGTAAGCGACTGCCTTTCTTCGATCGAGTAGAAGCAATATATTCAAGCAATGATTTCCTCGTTGTTTTATTATATTTAAACCTAATTCTTCCACTTAAACCGTATTAGGTCGATGCAAAAATCTTTTCCCATTAAATAATTCATTAATCTGTACACATAAATTAAAAAAATAACTTTATTCATATTAACATTTATTCGTTGTTTGTGGAAGATGATCCTTGAATCAATCTAATATATGGTTAAATGTACCGATTTCTCATTTACTGTTATAATATTTTCCACGTGTTTTCTTTTTTCATGTTAATGATAAATCTCAGAAAATCCAGAGAATTCCAAAAACAAAAAACTAAAATTTTTCAACGCGGTTTTTGCGAATATAGGAGTAATATGTTAAATTCCCGTAATGAATTATATAAACGATAATCTATAGAATATTCAATCAAATTTTAAAAATGATGGTGGAGGATTGGAGAGATTGCGCAAACAATGATAATGAAATGAGCAAAGCAATCAATAAGGCGGAGATATCGGATTGCATTGTTAATGCGATCGTCAGTCTGTACACAGTCGCTGTGTTCTTTTACGGCATCAGTATCATTCTAGACGATGTCGATATTACCGATTCTTCGATCGAGATACCCCACATATACAAAATGGAATTTCCGTTTGATATAAAGACGCAAAGCACGTACAAATTCGTATTAATTATGGAACTGATACATATTTTAGTGGGCAGCTGGGGATTGGGAGTTTTAAATGCATTACTTTTAACACTGGTAAGCTGCATGTCTAATTAACAAAAAAAACAATATTACCGAAAATGGACTTACAAAATACGGTTTTCGCCGAACTTTTAGAAATTAGGCAGGATTCGTTTAATCGATATATTTGCTTAAATAGATATTTCGATTCTGAAAATTTTTTTTAATTTTTCACTTGCATGAAACTATCTTTGAGTCAACTGTTTAAACATGAGCCTTCATTTTCATAGGCGGTGGACCCTTTCTTTTTAGACCCTACACATAGATGGCCAAATAGACATATTGCTTTACTGGTTGGCGAAAGTAATGTCTATAGATGGTGCTAACAAACGCAGATCTAACGTACTGAGAAAGATTATTCAGAAACATCAAAAAATCATCTATTTCGTGGAGAATATCGAGAAACTGTACACATTGATCGCATTGCTGCAATTTGCGACAAATGTAGTGATGATTTGCCTATCAGGATTTTTAATTATAACAGTAAGTAACAGTGTTAATTATGGATATATGATTAGTTAGTTATGGATATATGACAGTGTAGTAGATATGTATGCGTTTGCATTTGTGAAATAACACTGGTAGAAATACAATAAATAAACAGATAGAAATAAATATTTAATCTGCAAAAATTAATTGTTATGCATTTAATCGCGTATCCGCTTCCTGTATTCGACTAATTACGTTCATATCACATATTGTTTATTTCCTTCGTTTTATTGAATACTAAATAAAGATACGTTCATGATGATCAATAAAGTAACCATTTACATACGCTTCGCTATTGTAGGCTCTCGATACTCCTGATGCGACGGAGAAGATAATGAGATCACTTTCATATTACAGCGTGACAAATTTAGAAACGTTTATATTCTGCTATGCCGGGGAATACTTGATCAACAAGGTTAGTGAAAATTACTGATAACAATTAGGAAGCGGTATTAGAATATTCTATAATCGTTTCTTCGTTATTTTTATCCTCACAGAGCAAAACGATCGGATACGCTGCATACGATGCAGCCTGGTATGATATGGAATCTAGGCATAGTCGCATTTTGTTGATCATTATTTTAAGATCGCAAAAAGAATTAACACTTACCATCGGGAAATTGATGGATCTCTCGTTACATCGCTTTGCAAGTGTAAGTATGACTCGCGTGCAGTCTGTAAGGCAATTCTTAGTTGCGCACTCGTAGTGACGCGTTCGTAGTGATATATTTGTCGTATATGTATTTCAATGTTTTCATAATTCTCTGTTCGTTAGATATATTGGTTGTACGTGTTATATTCTCGCAATAATATGTTTAAAAGTACACACACATATATATAAACAAACATACAGATATATATATATATATATATATATATATATATATATATATATATATATATATATATATATATATATATATATATATATATATATATATATATATATATATATATATATATATATATATATATATATATATATATATATATATATATATATATATATATATATATATATATATATATATATATATATATATATATATATATATATATATATATATATATATATATATATATATATATATATATATATATATATATATATATATATATATATATATATATATATATATATATATATATATATATATATATATATATATATATATATATATATATATATATATATATATATATATATATATATATATATATATATATATATATATATATATATATATATATATATATATATATATATATATATATATATATATATATATATATATATATATATATATATATATATATATATATATATATATATATATATATATATATATATATATATATATATATATATATATATATATATATATATATATATATATATATATATATATATATATATATATATATATATATATATATATATATATATATATATATATATATATATATATATATATATATATATATATATATATATATATATATTGCTGTAAGAATTATATTGTAATATAATTGTAATTATATTGTAATTGTCGTAGATCATGAATTCCGCGGGTTCGTACATCTCGGTATTATTAGCGATGCAATGAAGAACAACACAAATGAAATATTCGGCTCGTCTCATGTCTTACCACTAATAGTCGTGAAATACATATCGTATAAATATGTAAATTATTAGTTAATAAACGACATATATAATGTAATGTAACTCACGCACAATATCTTTTCCCGGAAAGAGAAAGTAAAGAAATTTAATTAATCGTAAAACAATTACCAGAAGTAATATCGAAACTCTGAAGTGAGCAATTTCCATGATCCCGATCATAAGCGGAAAGAGAGAGAAAGAGAAAGTGTGTGTGTGTGAGTGTGTGTCATAATATACTCCATGATTTCCACGAATCCTCAGACGACTCTCCCTACCATCTCGAGGGCGAACCTTCGAAACTCCTCTTCGCCTTCTCGAGATCATTGCGCATGACTTTTGACGGCCTATAAAAAAAAAAGAAAATATGAAACCTGACTGTGCGTCGACCTCCGCGTTTCCTCCCACGGAATCGTACATTTTTAACGGAAATTGCATGCATCGCACCCTCGACGACAGAGCGGCCGGACGGAAGGACATTGTCCCCCTCGATTTCCTTTCCGTTCGCGAAATCGCGCGATCCACACGATGCAACTTGATAGCGTACGTGGAACGATGAAAATATTTAATGAGCTGCTCCCTGTCCGCTCGACGGTGGGCGAAGGTAGGGCTCGCAACTCTCAGCGAGTGACCCCCCGGTATCCTTCAGTCTGTCCGCGGAGTCTACAGGTGCGCGTCCTCGAGTCTGATCAAGTGTCGTACGCGGAATCGACGTTTCTTCCGATCTTCCGTGCGCTTTGATCGAGTACCAGCGAAGTGCGTCTTATTAACGCATTAATTTTATCAATCGACTGGTGACGCAGCAGGCGGACCAAGCTATTCTCGTTGTCTCCGTCCGCGTTATTTCGACGAGTCGTTTGATTGGCCTCGATAACTTCGATTCGTTTCACTTCGAAAAGTTTCTGCACGTGTTCGTGCAGACGAGCGTTCCCTCTGGTAGACGTGCAGCGTTCCGAAAAAAGCATATCGAAATCCGAAAAGTGGGACAATTTCCCGGACGTTCGCAATCCCGAAATCCGAATATCAAGGCAATCTTCCGAAATGCAAATTTTCAGAAATATTGGAAATATGCAATTGTCATGCAAAGTTACAATATTGAAATCGGTGCAACGAGATGAGATGATCGAAAAATTATTCATATGGGAATGAAAGGAAATAAAATTATTTCAAGAGAGTTGTTTCTCGGAAAAATTATATTATTATAAATAAAATAAAATTATCAAAAAACCCGTTCTCCGAAAGAGCGTCTTGGTGTTTGGATTTCAGAGTTACGACTTCGCGTGAGATTGTTCCAAATCTCGAGATTCGCATTCGTCGGGAAAACGCATGTTCACTTTTCTGCTCAATGAACACTTTTCTAACGCTAATTCGCAAATGTATCTAATTTCCTAATTCTCTGCACGCTGCTTATCCGCGTCTCGGTTCCACGTGCATGATAGTCGAGTGTTGGCATGGTCAGTGAAAAGTCGAGTAGCTCGCCGACGATGTTCGCGTTCACCCGCCCAATCGAGATCGGGCTTCAAGTTATCGGTATCTGGCCAGGCGCGCCTTACGCGATCATCAGTCGAATCTTGTGGACGACGTCGATGCTGGCCGCGCAGACATTTCAGTACCGCCACATGGTGTCGCATTTACGTTCGGAGGATTTGTCACTGCTAATGGATGGCCTGAGCGCGACGCTGTCGTACAGTTTGTTGTGTGTCAAGTTGATTGTTTTCTGGACGAAGCAACGGTACGTCGTTACCACTTGAAGCTTGCTCTCCGCAACTCGGCCGAGTCGTGCGAGTCGAATGAGCACTTGGTAATACGAAGCAACTCGCATGCGCTCGTAATTATCACTACGAATGTCGGAACTTCGTAAAATTACTGATTGCGTCTGTCAATACGAAATCATGACGTTAGATCGACAATTTTTATATTTTATTCAAGTCATGATAAGCCATAAGTTTCGTCTATTATCCTTTCTTATCACGATCGTAAAGAAACGAAAATCGCAAAGAACCGACGCGCAAACGCACCCTGGCGATATTTCTATTCTCATCTTTCCGACTCACATTTCTCGTCATCACGTATAGACAAGTAGTTCCGTAATCATAGTCTTCGAAGGGGCACTCGCTTCTCACGCAGTGCAAGCACGATATCGATTCTCCCCAGAATATTCCACGACGTGGTAGCGGGTATCTCGACGGACTGGGAGGAATGTGGAGAAGCCGGCGGTGCCTTGTGCAACATGATCAACGTGGCCAGCCTGTCTCATCGTTTCTCCAATTTAATCATCGGTTTGCACTCGCTGGCCGTGCTGTTCTACTGCATCGGGGTGGTCGCGCTGCGCGGCAATGACGCCGATCAGAGCGACGTCGGGCGTGAGCTCTTCCTCAAGATGGATCTACCCTTCGAGAGTGACGCGTCGCCGGTTTACGAGCTCGTAATGACCACGCAGTTCCTGCATCAGATTACGTCTGCCACCGTGATCGGTGTGCTCAGCGCGCTGCTCGTTACGCTGGTGAGTCGGCACCTCTCCGGGTTTCTCCTTGCCTTGCCTGCCCCCGGGAGATTTCCAACACCCGACTGAGATTACCTTCGGGAACGGGATCCCTGGAGACAGAGAGAGAGAGAGAGAGAGAATCCGCGGGCGTCCCAGCTATTCACCGAGATCGTCGATGACGCGTTCCGGCTTATTCGCGGGAAGAGGTTGGGAAAAAATTTATTCCCGCGAGATTGATTCCGAGCTGGCGCCGATTCCGCGGGATTATTTATCGACAGTTTCGACGCGTCGTTTCGTATCGTGTCTGACTGATCTGGCCAGATCGATTTTCACATCACCGCGATACGCGCCTGATTATTACGTTTCCCATCGTGGAATTACGTTAAGAGAAAAGGTAATCGGTGCTTGTGCTTATAATTACACGGTGAAGCGATTACAGTCAAGATAATGATTTTTCTAATAAGCGTTGCTATAATATTAGCGATAATAACTGTAAATCCTGCATATCGCCATTGCTATTATTCTATCAGAAAGAACCAAAAATATGGTTTGTGCCTCAAGTGACTGTGATTTTAATCGAATTTTAATTGAATTAACCAGTTCTTCGCTCAGTGCATTTGTTACGTTTAATTTCACTGTTTCCTACCGTAAAATTATCCATCGTGTCCGGCTGCCGTGTTTTTCGTCGTAAAAATGATTTGTTCCCATATTCCGCGGGAGATTTCGGACTTGCTCAGGACTCATCGATGAGACTTCGTTTCAGGACGAGCTTCACGATGTTTTCACACGTGCCGGCAATTCACTCTTAAGCTGTCACATACGAGAGCGGATAACGGGCTCGAATTTCTAGGTGCTGCACGTAGGCGGTCAAATAGACATCCTGCGTGAGAGACTGCTAGAAATTCTGCCGACGGACAGGAAGTCGACTATATCCGTGATCACGATGGGCTCGTTGATCCGTAAGCACCAGAACATCATCGTTTTCACCGACAAAATCGAGAACCTGTACTCGTACATCGCACTGGCGCAATTCATATCGAACACCCTCGTCATCTGCTGCTTAGGGTTTATCATCGTGAATGTAAGTCGCTCTCTCGAACGGCCATCGCCGTCAAAATGGATGCAAATTGATAATCGGATTCCAGATTCGCAAGCCAATGGCTCGCGCATATATCGAATGCATGCGAGCGCAAACCGATCGAGACTTGCATGAACGTGGTTCATTTCGTACTTTGTATATATATTTTCCATATTACATTCTGTAAAACGCGGTTTCGATTTATACACGAACAGGAAAAAGCATTTGATTCTAGTAATTATAATATTACATAGTAAATAATTATAGTAAGGGAAATCATATATATATTATATATTCTATGCCGTTTTTTTATTAAAACAACAAAAAAATATGAATCACGCGGGGAATGCTCGTAATTTTACCAAAATTGACCATTTTCTTCTGTCAGTGCAATACAAGCCGTAATGCAAAGAAAAAAAGAAGGAAAGAGAGGAACAAACTGCGTGTACTAATACAATTTTAACATTGCAGTCGATCGGCGACGATCAGGGCTTCTCTATGCTATTGAGATCTCTCTTGTTTTACGTCGTCATCAATTTGGAGGCGTTCATCTTTTGCTACGCCGGCGAGTACTTAAGCATTAAGGTAGGCACAATTTGGTGAGGCGGGAATTTCGAGTGGCACCCGATTTTTTGTCCGGTTTCAGACGTTGTCCGAAATACCCGCTCTCTCTCTCTCTCCCTGCTTTCCAGAGCAAAATGATCGGCGACGCGGCGTACGAGTCTCTGTGGTACGATTTGACTCCCAGCGAGACCCGAATCCTGCTACTCTTGATAATGAGGTCACAGAAGCAATTGACAATCACGGTCGGCAGATTTACGAATCTCTCTCTGCAGCAATTCGCGAACGTAAGCTTCATCCGTTAGTTTATGCGAGATTGCTCGATAAACTTGGCGCACAGTCGCGATTAAACTCGCAAGCGTGTGTGTGTGTGTGTGTGTGTGTACTGCATGTGAGTATGCTAGATGACACCTTATAATTATCTTAACGCGTAATCACGACGGTATTCATTTCTTACGCACTGCAGCAACGTTGTCTCCCCGGCAGATCATTAAATCGTCAGCCTCGTACGTCTCCGTGCTTCACGCGCTGTAACCAACGGCTGTGCCCCGACTCTCGCCGGTCGATATTTCGCGCGCACATCGCGCACCATCGCCGCCGGCCGTGAGCCAACCGTTGCGAACGTTATTCCGACGTAAGTCGCATAATTTAATAGAACGTTATTCTATTTTTCAATAAAACTCCACGATCAACCGTGAACGCAGCGCTGTTCATCCCCCGTTTATCACCGTCTCGACCCCCCTTCCCCTCTCTCCCTGTAGCAACGATATTTTAATGCGAATGTTGTCGAATGCAAGCGCGAGTCCATGCTCATACACCGCCGCCGGCTCATTGAAAATATGCCGTTGCTCCTCCCGTTACGGGGGGGTGGAAAATATTTTTCGCAAAGCCGAAGCTCACCGCGCGAGTTTTCATCCCCTGAAAGAACTTCGGGACATCGTTTCGCGTTAAATTGCTGAAGTTGCCCCAACTAGACGGCGAAGGGGCGGTTTTTCCTCCCCTCCCCTCGCACTCTCCCTCGATATATATATATATATATATTGGGGACTATGTATCTCTTTCTCTCTCCCTCTCTCTCTCTCTCTTTCTCCCCTGCGTCGAGAAAGCTACGAGCACGCGCGCGCGCGCGCAATAGCGCCAGATGGCCAGCGAACGGATCACAACACCGACGAAATTATAACCGGGATTACTTAGCGCTACTTCGCGCGTATAATCAGGACGCGACGATGGGAACTGGCCTGAAGGGACTGTTTTATTAGAGGCGACCATGGTGGAGCGCGGTACACCACGGTAACATTATCGCTCCTCGCGACTGGCGCACGCAATTTGCAAACTTACGATTCGCGCTAGCTCCATGCGAGCGCAGGGAGTTTACGCTTGCACCTCGCGAAAAATGCACACCTCGCCGTTCGGACCATGCCAAGGCAACGTATACGTGCAGTATGAAAAAAAAAAAGAAGGAAATGGGAATAACTCAAATCGAGTCAAACTCAATTTCGGGGTCGTGTATGAAAAATTGATTTTTGCAGAGAAATTCGGAACTCTAAAAGTCGGAAATGAAATTCCAAATTGTGAAAATCTGTGGACGTTCTTTTACTCTCTCGTTCGTGTAAAACATGCTCAAGTTTAGTTCAATGAGAGAAATATAAAGTAGTAGAAAGAATATTTATGTCATACACGCAGCTGAGTATCGTTAAATTTTTTTCTGTTGTATACATTTCTTACTTCAAATTGCTAGATTCCAGATCGTGTGTGACAGATCTGACTGGATTTCTGCTTGATTTCAGCCAATCGCAGTTGAATGACAAAATCTGCCTTGAACCTCGGAACTTGACTTCATTTAATTCGGTTTTTATTTCAACGTGTGAAAGTAACTCGATTCTTTTTCTTCCAATGATCTACCGTCTATCGAGAAAAGTCTAAGTACCGAGAAAATGTCTATAATTTGCTTCTACATTCGAATGGATTTTTTTAACATCGAGATCCGCTGCAAATAAATCGAGAGTCATTCGTGTTACGTATGAAGAAAATGTAATTCTGAGAGATTTTTAATTTCTGATATTAAACACCTCGCGAACGAACGCGTGCACGTTTATGTTCGCGCAAAGGGAAACGTAAATTGTGTTTTATTCGAACGACAAGACCTCGCGAACTGCTCATGAATATTCCGCTTTGGCACTTTGTACGGAGCGTTTTTCGAGAAAATTGCCTTGCAAATTCATCTCGCGTAAATAGTACAATCTTGCGTGATCTCGCGCGGACTTTGCAGTGGCCTCGTCATCGTCCGCGCGGGAAAATCGATTTTCCGGATTATCCCGGGAAATTATATCCCGGCGATGTGTAAATCACGAATTTCCGTCTCGGGCTCGCTAAGACTCAGCGGTGACGTCGCCGCGTCTTACTAAGTGCCAAATTATCGGCGCGTCGAAGACGTAGGCGTCGCAAATTCCTTCTCAAGTTTCTTATCGTCGTGCCATGAGAACACTCGATTTTCCTACTTACAGCCGCGTCAGTGTCAAGTTTCGCGCGCGAATTTACGTGCTCTTACGCAGGTGACTAACGATAAAACGCCAAATCAGAAATTAATATGCAGGGAAATGCCGATATCTGAAAGCGGCGTGCGTCTGATTGTCATTATTTCCTCTTTACCGCATCGACTCAACGCGCGAACTCTTCGTAAAGCGACTGTATGAAAAAATAAATTCTCGTTACACGTTATGCTTTGATGTAAATCTCGCCCCGGGGATTCGTCGGATGCAAAACTGCGCGTCGCGAAAACATTCGATTTGTTTTTCATCCGTTTCTTTTTTCCCTCTTTCTTTTTTTTAATATCTCCGCAGTAACCTTCCCACGTGTACACCCAATATTCGCCCTCTCATTAGAAGGTAAATAACGGAAGACGGAGTTGCAGAGTTGCCGCGCTTGCTCGTTACACCGAAGCGCGACGCGAATTTACCATCGGCGCCCGAAGGTAATCCGCGTCGAGCACTTAACTCGAATTTAATCGCGACGGGGTAATTTCGCGCCGATGAGCGACTCAGCCACGATGATTTTATTTTTGCGCGGAGCGAAGATCTCGTGGCCGAACGAGTGCTCGCGGGCCGATCGTTTCCAACTTTTTGGCGTTTAGAGAAACCATACGAATTTTCCGGGGAAAGCTGCGTCAGTGGCGGCAGTAACGACGGCGGCAGCGGCGGCGGCGACGACTTCCCCGGGCCGAGCGAATTGGTCTCCATGGAAACCATCCCGAAGCCAATCCGGGGTGCATTCGTACGTACATTTACCCTTGTCGTGGCACGTCTGCAGCACCCCTCTCGCCACCCTTCACCCCTATAAACTCGCACCCTCTCCGGCTCTCTCTCGCTTCCCCCGCGTAGCTTTTTCCGTCCGCTCTATTCCGTCGTTCGGTCCGTTTCTTTCTCTCGCTCGCTCTTTCTTTCGCGTTCTCTCCCTTCTCTACTTTTCTCCTTGATTCGAATTGTTCTTTCGTTCGCCATTCCTCACCGCTCTCTACGTCTGCCGTTCCCTCTTTCCCTCTTTTCATTTTTTTTTTCCGTTCCGTCTATCTTCCATTCTTTCTTTCGTCGTCTCCGCCGTCGCCATTTTATTTATTCCCTATCCACTTTTGTTGTCTCGTCTGTGTGCGGCACGGTCTTACACCGTATCTCCGCACTTTCATTTGTACAGCCAGGCGATGCTCGGGAATAAAGTTTCCGTCTCCATTTAAACGTTTTTGTCGACTTTCGGGCGAACGCGTCTGCGGGAATAACAGGCAAAGAGGAACAGTTGGATTCATGTCTGCGTATTATGTGCTCTAATTTTACGAATGAACTTTTCTCAAGTCGCCGTCCCCCACTCCGCTCCCCTCGACACCTGAATTATTCTAACATGTATTTTCGGTGTGACAGAGGTCATGACGCGAAGAGAACCGCGCCCTTTCGGTGCCGCATGACACGCCCGGGCAATTGAAAAATTCCGCGCGACGATAGAGCGACTTTCAGCGGCTCTTCTCGCTTTCCGTCGCGAGAACGGGAATATTTAATGTTCTCATTTATAATTTCATAGTTCTCTCGACAATTTTCCCTCGGTCGCCCGATTTTTCGCCAGCTTCCCCAGCCGCTTTCAGTCGTCGTATCGGCGTGCATTGTTCCGGCTCTCTCTCTCGCTCTCTTTTATCCAATCCACCACTACACAAACCCGCCAAATCCATAGGGCGACGATTGACGTGTCGATCGTTATGCGACCCTACAGATGTTATTACCCCTGTGTTCCATTAACCCCAGTCCGAAATACTTAGCAGCCTGATTCAATGGTCTATAAGGGTGTAGTTCACCGCGTCGTAACGTTCGACGAAGTGCGCGCAACGTGTGCTTTCATGCGCTCGAAAACGACGCGGGTTTTGTTCGGGGATTCACGCGAGAATAGCATCGTCGCGATGTCGATTTCGCATTGGCAACTTTTCGCCTCTAATCTGTATCTCGCATCCGAAATACATAACGTAATATAGAAAGGAGAGAACAGAAGAAGGGATACAAAGGCGAGTTATTGGATTCTATCCGTGGGAGAAGGCTTGTGTTCAACGGAAGACGGGATCGATCCCGGAAGACGAGGTTCTGTTCGCGGGACATGAAATCGAATCGAGACACGCGGGCTGACTCTTTTGTTTCCTCTTGAAGAAAAAAAAAAAATCAGACGACGCGACGCTCATGCATTGGACGAGGGAGAACGTTCGAAGAAGTTCGACGTCGGTTGTTCGATACCCCGAGAAGGTACGGCTCCTTTGTCGAGGGCTCAAGGAGCGGCCACTTCGTAAATACAGTATAAGCACATCTTCGTTTAATTAATAGAGGAATGCAAAAGTTGGCCGGAATTTTAGTCACATCTCGAGTCAAAATTTTGTGATACTTCTTTGATACCTCTTAGGGTAGTTTGACGCTTTTAAGAATAGTTTGTGCTTATTTAAATAACCTATAAATTGGCGAAAATCTATTTTGACAATATTGACACTTATTAATATACTTCTCTCCTGAAACTGTAATTCTGCGGATTTAACTTTAATGCTATTTTGAACAACCTATATTGACGCTAAAACAGCGAAAACGAAAATTGAAGACATTATTGAAGTCAAAGTAGGAGTAAATTATATTACATTACAGTGAAAGTTCCTTATTCACGGTTTCCTTATTCGCGTTTTCACTATTCGCGGGTTAAAAAAATTGCGACACAGTTCCTGTATTCACGGCTAAAAATTTCTTTATTCGCGGATCCAATCGGTATATAATCGGTATCCAAATGTAAAGGTGAT